TTCTGAGGGATGGTCCAGCTCACTCTGAAGTCACCAGCCTGCAGCAGAGGAGTGTTGGTCTGTTGGTCATCACCCTGACATGTAAAAATGACCTTATTGAGAGGTAAGGTTTGGACATTTGCTTCTCACACTGAGGTGAAGATCCCTGTGGGATCATTTATCCCAGAGGCACAAACGTACCACTTCAAGCTCTACTGGAAAGGTCTAGATCTCAATTTCAGCTTTACTGTTCATTTCAATTCATTTATTCAGCAGCAGTTTCCTACCTGTTGTGATATGAAAACAAGTGGAAGAATACTTCTTTTTTTTACCTACTTTCTATTTCCTCCTCCACCTTTTGCTCCTCTGAGCCCTAAAACAATATTTAGCAGCTTTTTAAATTCCACAAACATTCTGCAGCTTCTTTTCAATGACACGGTAACCACTGACCACTTAATTACAGGGCAATGACTATGCTGTGGTGTGGCTGGGTAATTACAGGGCTTTTGTGGTTTATCATAACAGGGTTATTCCTCTCCCCTCGATGGCAGGACAGGTTACCCTTTAGGATCTTCTGAAGTTAATTGCATGCTAATCCACATCAGGTTACTAACACACTACTGTTATGTGTCTGGACCCCTGAGGCCTGCAGATTTCTCTGTTTATTTTTATTATACAGTACTGGACAAGCTAAATGGCTGTGCAGTTTATGGAAAGTTTGCTAACTTTCTGTACGTGGAGACCCAATGTGTTGTCCAGCCCTTAATATGAGCATAATGTCCTCTGTCCCCAGCATCACAGAACTGTCTTGCATTGCTCCCTGTACCCCCTGGGGGAAGCCTGGAGCAGGGTACTGCAAGTATTACTCTTGTCAGTACAATTTATTATCCAATAGTCTGTCTTGATGGTCTTCAGATGTTAATTCTCCACTTCATGCCTTGGAACATGCTCTGTGACCCAGAGAGCTCTCTGGGGGACTCAAGTGTGTTTGCAGGGCATAATGCATGCAGTAACTAAACATCTTAACAACTTCTTGGGCAATTTCAAGTCAATGCGAGAATGGGGCCAGTTTTCACAACTGTTTGCTAAGGCTTTTATCCTTCTTAATCATCCCTTGAATCTACAGTCCAGTGCGAGCTATCTTGTCTTGAAGTGTTACTCATAGAATATTATTTTAGATTAAATGTTTTTGTTCATCTTTTGAAACAGGTTATACAGAAAAACATAGGTAGGGATCAAGTAAGCATAGGACTTTGTCTGATGATGAGAAAAAGAATCCACCACAAGGTTTGTGACAATGGGTCCACAGAAAACCCACCTACTGGAGCTCCTAAATCCAACTGGGGTTTCTCTTTCACTCCACTTCATCTGACTGTCAACCTTTGGGGGACTTGAGTGAAGGCCCATGCATCACTTGACTCTTCAGCAAGCCCTGCTCTGAGCAGCCGAGTGGTACCAATATGGATGATGGTGTCTGACCTGAATCCCACACAGATGTGCTGCAGCTGAGATGAAGAGTGTGAAAATGAATAATTTTTGTCATCTCTTTCAACTTTTTTCCTTTTTCCCTTGCTCACCTCTCCCGTGCGCTCTGCCTTTCTCTCTTGAACAGCCTTCTGTCATACATACAGTAGTTAGGTGTTGGAACACTTCCAAACTAGGGTCCAGTCTCCTGTAAGATCAGCACAGAAAAGACTATCTTACCTTTTAGGTACAAGAAATAATGTAAACACTGCAAAATACTGCATTAAAGAAGCCAGTAGGTATTGATTCCTTAACACTGATGGCTACATTAGGAAGAATGGGTTCTATTTAAGTCCAACTTTTTCAGAAAGGTTCAGCAGGCACATATGGAATGAAATTTTCCAGAAAACATACTCATTACAAATAGTTTGGGGATTCTCACATCAGTTCAGGGTGCTCAGCCCTCGCTCCTTGCCATGACCAGGGAGCATGTGTGGAGTTCAGGCAGAGGTTGATGATGCGAGAAGAATAGTACACCCATATCCTCAGCCTAGTGCTGCCTCACTGTAGTTTATTTGTGTGCTAGCCTCTGAATTTATTGCTTCCAATGGAGCTTGTTTGTGAAAGTTGGAGAGTACTCTGCACTCTGCTAGTGCTCCTGGCATGTGTCAGTTTGTCTCTACAGATAGGATTAATCCATTTAAGTTTAGTTATCCCAAAGGTTCCTTCTGCCATGAGACTTGGATGTAATATACCTCCACATTGCGACTACCTCTGTTGGTGTGCAGTGAATCACTGCCTGGAGGAGCTGGAGGGCTTACCTAGATCTTATGCTTCCTTCTGTATCCTTAAAGGTCACAGCGTGGACTGTTGCTCAAAGGTTTCTAGGCATCCCCAGCAGCCAAACAGACTGCCAGTCTTACTGGGAGGGTGAGTAAAATGCAGGTTGACCAAACTGTTGCAGGACACAATGGAGGTGCTACACGTCGTGCTGAGCATCTTCTCCACATAGGAGCAAATATAAACCAAAGCTTTTAAAGATGTATTGCTTTTCCTGATCAACCTCTTAAAAAGCAAAGAAGACTTTTTTCTAACATGGTAGTCAGAAATATCTCCAGACCAAAATAAAACTGTTGTCTCTAGGAGAACTTTCGATTTCTCAAACATGTTTGCTACCAAGCAGTATACTGTTGATACAAAATAGGCACACTCTATGTGGTAAGCCATCTTTGTGAAGCTGATACCCTTCTGCTGGTCGCAGAATGATTACCCTTTGAAGCAATATTTTACCAGATCTGGGGTCATCTCATTAGCCTCTTGGTTGTAAATTATTGACTGGTTTTGAACAGACTCTTTAGAGAAGAGAAAAAGCCTCCAGATGCCAGTGTGCTCTTGAAGTGTCTCCTACTTCACCGTCCCAGCACAGAAGGCAATACCTGCCCATGCTGGGAGGAACTCCTGAGAAGGGGAAAGGGAGAGTGACTCCCTATTCAGTGTGTTCAGTTATGAGTAATAGAGAAGCAATGTCCATAGCTTGAAATGATAATAGCTGTGGACATCAGATGCAGAAGCTTAGGCTGGGGTAAGAATTCCTCTATCTGTAAAGCTACTGTTTTCTTTCCTACTCAGGGAAACTGTAGCTAAGATCCAATGAGCCAACTGTCTGTATCTGCTCCATGGGGCTGGGGAGCCAAAAGAAACTGCAGCTGTAATGTGAGAGTGACAGTGGGAAGGTGAAAGTCCCTCAGGTTTTCCCCACCACCTCTGTTTGCATTGGCATTTCTGAGTTTGCAAAGAAAACTATGGAAGTGTTTTGAATTGCATCCATTTGTAGCTGCAGAAGTTGCAGTAAATCCTGGAACAGGGAGGAAATATGGCAGTATAAGCAGTGTGCAGCTTAAAGTGGATCAATAGTGTAGCCATACTGATGAAATTTAATGTATCTTTACATGCATTTATCATAGGGTCAGGTGAAACTGTGTATATGTAATGGCAGCATGCCTTGGGAGTAGGTCAAGGCTAGATGTGACAATAAAGAGGTTTAGACTGGGTGTATTCTGTCCAGTTCTCTGCTGCCCACCACACTGTGTCCATGTGACTGCAGCTTGTACAAAGTGACTGTGAAACGCACGGTAGAGTTTGCCGTTCCTTTTGCACAATTGTGAGATGTGAAGCAGAGAGCATCCAGGTTTTGTGGCCTTGAAATTACACAAAATTTTAACAAAACCCAACCCCAACCAACTTCCAAACCCTCCAAACCCCCCAAGCATCAGCATTGATCTGAAAAGAAGAACCTGCTTTAGAAAATGTGTTTGTGTGTTCCATAACTATTAGTGTTGATTTCCCCCTGCCTAAATTTTGAACAGCATTGCAAAAGAAAGCCAGTATTTCTGTGCAGCAAAAAAAAAAAAAACAAACGCAGTTCCTATGGAAAATATAGTAAATAAATCTGGACATCTCCAAGCTGCAAATAATCTTGTATGTATGGTGATTGGAAGCTGCAATGGTAAGTACAGAGAACCTTCATGTTTGCGTAAGAAAAACTATCTTTTCTTGAGGCCTGTACCAGGACAATTAGTAAAATGTAGGATACCTGTTTTGGATGACTGTATGTTGATTCATTATGTAAACTACTTTGCTTAGCACTGTCTCTGCAAGACAAACTGCAATCGTGTAATGAATATTAGTCTGAAAGCAGATGCTCCTGTCTGTGCTTTTTTCAGCCTGTTTGTTGTTTCCAAAACAATGCAGAACCACAGCAGAAGTGAAATGTGGAAGATCACAGACGTGAGGGAAACTTCCAGTGCAATTTGCACTTTTAGATCTGCAAGGGATTCGTTGCCTGCGCCAGGCGATGAGTCACTTGCAGCATCAGTGGTTCAGCTGCAGAACTGTACCATCAAGAACAGTGCTCACACAGCTGACAGGCCATCAGGTGATTCACAGGCACTGCTGCCAGATGATGCTGTGCATCCGAGACCAGACTTGAGGTGATGGGCAGCAGAAATGTGCTGGCAGGTCTCAGGGCCTGTACAAGTGCCCACACATCTGTCTGCCCAGCGCCCTGCTTTAATGCACAGCTCCCAGGCAGAGATGGGCATGTGAAACCACTCAGGGTTTATTTTGCCTGTAGAAAGTGAGTGAATGATTTGTACCAGGTTCATGCAGTCGCTGTGTGTTTTGACCTGTCAGGAGTTGTTTCAGAACAAGTGTACCTTTTTTTTTTCTTTCAGTTTTTTCCCCCCCTGCCTAAACTGTGAATTCCATATCAGGTACTAACAAACATGGCTCATCTCAGAAGAACATAATTAACTAAAAGAATTCATAATTAACTTCCACTGCAATTTGTTTGGGTCTTCCTTTACATTAGATATAAGCTCTGGTGGGGATTTGAAATGCTCTGAAGCATACACTGTCTTTCGTGTAACTGCTGCTGAGCCTACAGAAAAGCTAACCTGCTCTAACTGCACAGTGTGTGTGTTTGTATATTAGAGTTCTCTGACAGACCTGTTTTTCTTTTTCTCTTTCTCTTCCTTGTCTTCTTTCTGCATTGGCAGAGCATCTTGGATTTGAATTAAAGGGTATGGACCAACCATTCATTTATTAATCAGAAGCCATTAAAAGCTGCCCACATTATATTTATGGCTTTAATGGGATGATTAAAAAATCAGCTGTTCTGTTCTCTTCCCTGGCACCACGAGAGATGTTTGGTTTGAAAAAAAAAACCAACAAACCAACCAAAACCAAACACAAAACCTAAATGTAAACCTATAAAAATACACGTGTATCTTTAGCAGCACTCTTTTCTTTGTTTCAAGCAGCAGGCTGGTGCATGTGCCATGACTGGGGTGTTATAATGGCCATACGTCTCCCCGTTCAACATGCTTTTGTGTATTTAACTGAAGAGTTGGAGTCTGTGACCATCCCAGAGGTTGCCAGCAGGCACCACTTGGGAACGGGCAGGCATTCCAGGACGGAGGGTTTTAGAACAAGGTTTTTATAGAAATTACCACCCTGGATGCACTAACCTCCACTGGATCCTATGAGGATCAGAATGAGCTTTGCTGTTCCTTCTCCCAAAGGTTAGTGGCTTATTTTGGTTCTTGGCCAGGAGAAAATTATTCCACGAAGGATGACATGAGATGTGTTAGTGCAGAAAACAGTGAGCTCAGGGAGGTCAGCAGTCTCCCATGGGAGTGGAGGGTGTCATTCTGAGCATCATGGTGGCAAGCTGAAGTTTGGAAAATCACTGCAATGTTTTAAAGGCTTTGAAAAATATCCCCTTTGGGCAATTACCTGCTCCTGCCCAAGTGCTCATAATCATATTATTTTTCTTCCATTCTCCTCAGTCTGTTTTTAGAAATACATCAAGAATTTCTTGAGTAAGCACTTGGGAAATCAGATTATTGAGGGTAGGTTTCCCTTGAGTATAAAAGCCAATCGTGGAGGCTGGTCAGATGAGAGCAAAGAGATTTATCTTTAACTTAAAAACACTGACCTGGCAGTGCCAGCCAAAGGCATCTTCACGTGAAGATGCTACAATTCCATTTATGGGGGCACCAGTCTTTCACTTCTGGATCCTAAACTGTCTTTTCTTATCCCCGGGGTAGAAAGACATGTACTAGCTGAATGAAGCTAGAGAAACTTGTCTCCTCTGGTTGTTTTGTGCCTGATCCACCCGGGTGGGGTGGATCCACCAGGATGGGTTTATATCCCGTATCAGCTCTTCCCTGCTGCAGAAAACATTCATTTTGTAGTCGGGTGTTTCAGAGAAAGCGGTGCTGCTAATGCCAATACACTGAAATTAGCTTAAAAATGGAGGATTTTTGACATCCCTTTTTTGTTGACCTCTTGTCCTTTTCCTCATCCATTCTCAATGTCATCACAGAACCGCACACATCCTGTTCCCAGCCTGCAGTTGTCTCTTCTCTGTCATTCGTCTGTCACTCTCATGCGTTGCTGTGACACCCATGGCTGGACTGTGATTCTGTCGGCATTATGTGGCACCACATGGTTTGTTCATAGTGTTTGCTGCTTAGAGTGATGCTGCTGCTGCTGCTGAAGGTGTGGTGTTTGTAGAGAGTAGAGGCACAAATGGACAAGTTCTGCTCCAGGACCTTGTAGTGCGCATTCTCCTATTTTCTTCCTGCCATTGTTGAGACGGTTTTGTGCAACAGGAAGGTACTGTGTTATGGAGCTTTATCAGCTTTAATGAGATGTGAGGAACCAAGCTAAATTACTATCAGCAGGTCATTTAACTCATAGCTTTGCAAGCACAGCCTCACACGTCACTGCTTCACATAGCAGAGCTGTCAGCTTAAGACAGAGAGGCTAAATCTGCAGTTCTGATGAACTGAAACATTCCCCCTGCAATTGAGGTGAAGGTTTGGAACAGTCAGACATGCCAGAGCCAGATGACATGATCATCACAACAGCGGCTGGGATTTGAGCCTCGGGCAAAAGATTGTGTTATTTAGCTAATAGCTTTGCTTTTTGCTTTTTCTCCCTCCTCCGTGATTCAAAGGGAACGATTTATGCTTGGAACAGAAGTCTTTGTAGCAAAAAACATAGCTGGTGAAGGACACTGCGTTTGGAAAAATTGGCTTGATGGATGAGTCCATGGTGGAAACTGACCTGCTCCGGCTTTATTTTTTTGTAAAAGTAGCTTTTGCTGGGTAGTACCAAAATTCTCACCCGGTGCCATCTGTAACCAGGATATGAACCTGGCTGGTTTTCCCTGAAACTCCTGGCTGAAGGAAAGATCTAGAATCCAGGTCCCAGAGATGTGCAAGAGCGACAAAACTTGTCTGCCATGGTTGCAGATGCCTGGAATAGGGCATCCGTGTAATGGGAACATGTCAGTGAGGGAGGTGTCTCACCTCAGAGTGAGCTCTTTCCCCATGCCAGCTCCACGTGGTTCCTTGTAGTAAAGCACAAGGAGTATGTCAGCCAGCACCCAACTGCTCCTCTACGAGCAGGTCCCAGGCCATACATGGGTTGGCTCTGAGGGATGCAGCTAGCTGGTGAAGCTGACAGAGCAGCAACTTCCAGGCCACAGGAGACCCATGATCTGTTGTTCCTGGTCCACACCCTCCTGAGTGTGGGAGAGGCTCAGCTGCCTGTAGTGAATGGTGGCACGTTGCCTTCCTGGAGACCCACCAGCAGCACCCTGAGTGCCTCATGAAGCCAGAGGCCAGTGCTCAAACAAAATGGATGGAAATGTGTTGCTTTATACTGAGATTTTGCAGCACAGGTATGAAGAAAGTTCTACTGATTATGTTTTACATCTCCATGCCAGGGCTGTCATTCTCAGCTCTTGTTTAGCAAATCTTTCTTCATTCTTTTTTTAAAAGTTAGAAAGAGATAAACATTTTTCCTAGCACTTTTTTTTTTTAGTTTTCCAAAAATGCCTTTTCTTTCCCAAAACAAAAGGGTGAAACTTGTCTAAATATCCAGTTATCTGGAATGCTTCATTGCTTGCCCCATGCTTTTTTGCTGAAGTCCAGGGTTTCTGACACCAGACCTGTTTCTCTTCTGGTTTTGTATTTCATTGTCTGGGGCTATCATATAGTCCATTCAAGGTTATTTAGTGTGGCATGGTGAGCACAGCAGCCATGGCATGAGTTTTGTTGCCTGATCTATACGAAAAAATATTTCCATGAATATTAAAGAAGGCACAAATCCCATTAACACATAACTATGCAGGCATCAGGACACCTCTCACAGATATTGAACTAAAATGCTCATGGCAAGTGTGCACAGAATCCTCCTCTCAGTCCTCCAGCCGCGGAGCCGAATTGCTTCTGCTGATCTCTGTGGAGATTGCTGGATGTTGCCGTGAAGAGCATCTGCTCTGGTGTAGCCACAGAGGAAGAGGTGCCCTTGCCATGTGATTGCTGCCTAGGTGTAGTTACCCAGCAAGCGGCATCCGAGTGTTCCCTTGAAGCCTTGATTAATGTGAACAATTACCTCACTTCAGCATGGTTTGGATTTTGAAGCAAGTGACTGACTTTCCTGGTTTGAAAGGTGGTCCGTGACAAATGGTGGTATTTGAGAGAAGCAGCAGGATGCTGCTTGAATTCTGTGCGTGCATCTCAGTTATCTGGTGCAATGAAATTAATAATTTCCATAACTGTAACCAGTTACTGCATTTTAATTGCTCCACTCCCTTTTCTTTGTCTTACACACTATCACTTTTCCATCCTCATTCTGCTTTTGGACTCTTTTAGGATGTCCTCTTCAGCACCTACATGCTTTGGAGCCTGTTTCTTGGTGGTTTGTAGCCACACCGCAGAGCTCCAGGGCATGCAGCTGCTGCAAGGAAAAGGCATTCTAAGTCAGAGCAGAGAGCCTGTGATGGGAGAGAGCATCACAGGGCATGGGTGTCTGTGGTGAGTGGGGGTTGCCTGGGGACTTCTTTGTAGGCTACTGGGTTACTGAGAAGGGGGATCTGCTGGAAGGGAGAGGAGAGTAGTGGGGCTGTTTGAGACTAGTCACTGAGTCATGATGTGGGCAAGGAAAGCAAGCAGCGTGTTTGAGCACACAAGGGGTGAGAGAAAGAGGGCAAAGGTACAGAGGGGCAAAAGCAGTGAAGGTCTCCTGCGGGGTGAGCAAGGTTGGGCCAGCTGGTCTCAGGTTTGGGGCAGCTATTGGAGACAGGCAGTGGATTGGCAGGAGGTCTGACCGAGCCCTGTTCTCCATCTCACCCACATGCAGTGCTGGTTCCTGTGCAGCCAGTCGCATCCCTGGTGCTGGAGCCCATTTGTCATTGTGGTTTCTTCTCTCCATTTGCAGAAGCAGAAGAGCTCTACCAGAAGAGAGTTTTAACCATCACGGGAATCTGCGTTGCCTTGCTTGTGGTGGGCATCGTCTGTGTGGTAGCTTACTGTAAAACCAAGTGAGTATGGGTGGTTAGCAGACAGCACTGGCTAGAGTGGCTGTGATCATGCTTTGTGCCTTCATGCTCTTCACCCAAATGCTACTTTAAGGAGATGCTGTGCTGTGGTGTTCCCAGGAAGGTCTCATGAAGGAGAACAGTGAAGACCCCTAGCAGGCTGTGCCTGAGCAGGATGCTTTCCTGGGACCATCTGCTTATCCCCTGAATCAGCATCATTTCCTCCAGCCAGGTGATGCTCTGTTACTGGGAAAAGCTGGTCCTCACGGCAGCAGCTCATCTCCTGACAGCAGAAGCACACTGGGCTGTTGTGCAGGAGCTGTGGGCTCAGCTATGTACATTTCAGGGACTTTCAGAGTTATCTTGATGGAACAAGATGCTTGGGGACCTCTTTTATGGCCTGGCTTTCCCTGCCTGGGCAGCACATTTTTCCCTACTTCACTTGCACCTCACCTCAGTCCAGGGTGACCCTGGGGCATGAGGGGTCTTGCAGGGTGGATGCCCTGCAATAGTAGGCTTTACCACTTTGTGCTTAATGAAGGACAGGTCGAGTGCCTTGCCACCAAGGCCAAGCCAGGACCTGCTTCCCACTTTCCACCTCCCTGCTTTTCTCCTCTGCTCCCAGCACCTTGGTACCCCTGGCTCCACTGCATTGTGCTGAGCCTTGTCTTGCAAGAGGAGACCTTGGACCCAGCTTCCCAAATTGCCCATGATAAGAAATGTTCATATGTTATAGCATTGTTGAATGCATTGTTTCCTCCTGTTTGCAGCTTTCACAATCACCATTGAAACAAGCATGTCTGATACTTGCCTTCTCTATCTTGCATATCCCAGGTGTCTCTGGGGCAGAGAGCCCCGTAAGTCTTCCTTATGGATTTTTTCCTTTCTGTTTTAAAGGAAACAAAGAAAACAAATGCATAATCATTTACGTCAGAACATGTGCCCTGCCCATCAGAACAGGAGCCTTGCGAACGGGCCAAGCCATCCACGTTTGGATCCCGAGGAAATCCAAATGGCCGATGTAAGACCTTTTGTCTCCGTCTTGATGCATGTTACTGAGTTCCTGTTTTCTGCCAGGGATTTGATGTGGATGTGTGTGCTTACACACCCGTGGGCATGTATGTGAGGAGTGAAACACTAACAAACTTGAATCAAAAGACTAGATTCTGCATAGAAACATTTCCAAAAATGATATCTGAAGTGAAAAGTGATTTTACTTTGAATCACAGGATGAAAATAGGGCACTTGGAACAGACTTATTTTGATTAATAAAATGTGATCCTGTTTTTTTGAGAGAGATGTTCCTGATGATGCCTGTTTATTGAGCTATTGCGGCTGCACCCCCAGAGCATGAGCAGCACTTTGAGGGAGGGGATTCTCCCCCTCTGCTGCACTCTGGGAGACCCCCCCTGCAGTCTGATCCAACTCTGGGGCAGCAGCACAAGACGGACCTGGAGCTGTTCGAGAGAGTCCAGAGGAGGCCATGGAGATGCTGTGAGGACTGGAGCAGCTCTGCTCTGGAGCCAGGCTGAGAGAGCTGGGCTGGGTCAGCCTGGAGAAGAGAAGGCTCCTGAAGGGGAGACCTTAGAGCAGCTCCAGTGCCTAAAGGGGCTGCAGGAAACCTGAAGAGGGGCTTGGGACAAGGGCCTGTAGGGACAGGCCAAGGGGAATGGCTTGAACCTGCCAGAGGGGAGACTGAGATGAGCTCTCAGGCAGAAGCTCTTCCCTGTGAGGGTGCTGAGGCGCTGGCACAGGGTGCCCAGAGAAGCTGTGGCTGCCCCATCCCTGGCAGTGTTCAAGGCCAGGTTGGACACAGGGGCTTGGAACAAGCTGCTCTAGTGGAAGGGGTCCCTGCCTGTGGCAGGGGTTGGAACTGGATGAGCTTTAAGGTCCTTTCCAACCCAAACCAGGCTGGGATTCTGTGATTTGATGATCAGATGACTACAGTGGCTCAGTTACAAGCTTTGCTGGGTCACCCTTTGGGTGCTAAAATTTAGCTTAGTTGAATCCCAGCCATGAAGGAAGAGGGAAAGGGAATTTCTAAGAGCCACATCCCTCTGAACCGAAGTGCTGACTCCCACAGAGATCTCAGTGTACCTGTCAAAAGGAGTGCTTGTTGGTGGATGGAGCAGTGCCTCAGCAAAAATATTTGGCTGACACCTGGCATTTCTGTGGGACTTGAATGTCTCACTGATCTCATGTGGTTGTCTTTTTGTTGGTCCTCTGTCGGGTGCATAACCTCTTTGAGCAGAGATGTTTTTCTGTTCAATAGCTGCATGTGGTACCGCTGTCCTCTGGGGAGCCCCTTGGCTCTTCTTACCCTCCTGCAGTCCTCATGACACTGTGTGAAGTGCAGGGGCAGAGCTCCAGTCTCCTTGTCTTTCAGTGGTGTGCAAAGCTATTGGGTTCACTCAGTCCTCATCTGATTTCACCAGAAATAATTAAGCCAGCCAAATTTGGCTGTGGCAGCATGGCCGAGCTGATGTGTGTGGTTCTTCATGTTTTACAGTATATCTCTAAGAATGTTTCTGCCACTGAGCATGTGATCCGAAGGGAAACAGAGACAACCTTTTCAGGAAGTCACTCCTGCTCTCCATCTCATCACTGCTCCACAGCCACTCCAACGTCCAGCCAGAGGTGATGTATACTGTTTTCCCCTGAACCTTCTTCCCCTCTTTGCTTTAGGATGCTATGAGATTCAAAGCCAGGAGCAGCTTTTTCTTTCACCTCCCTTTCCTGTTTTCACTTGCTGCTTGGCACTATGCTGGCATGCAGGCCATGGTGACACTGCTGGTCTTCGCTGGCACAGCTACTTAGTGAGAGGTGTGGAAAGGTGTGATCCTTGACCTGCAGTGAGGTGCCAGCAGGAGCCTGCAGCACTGACATAACTGTGAACCAGGAGGAAATGAAGTTGTGCTTTCGTGCTTTGCACAGACATGAATGGGAGGCTGCATCTAGGAAAGGTTTCGCAAGCAGGGTTTGCAGCCACACTGATAACTGCAATAATTCATTAAGCACACTCAGGTTGTTTCATGCTTGATGTATTTGGAATGTAGGACCTTGTGGAAGGCAAAGTACACGGAACATCACAAAATGTTTTGGGCAGTTCCTCCAAGTTAGGGTCTGAGTTGGGAGCCATGGTTTTTCACCAGAAAAAAACCCCACTCCTGTGCAATTTATCACAGTCCAGAAAGTTACATCACAATCACAGCCCAGAGATCACCCTAGGGAAAGTCCTGCGCTGGTTTGAATTTGGATGTTCAGGTTCTTCCTCTTACACAGCTCTCGTGCTTCTTCCAGTAAGTGACAGTGTTTCCCTAGGAGAGCACTTGCCTTTGACAAGTGAGTGGAGGTACAGGGGTGTCAGTGATGTATAGATCACCTTGCATTGACTTTTTATAAAGCAAAACATGTCCTGGCTTGTTTACTTCTTTAGCCCGATGTGTTTGTCTCTGTTTTCCAGGAAGCAATGTATCCTTTCAGCTAAAGCTCAAAGTTAGCTCCCAGCAGGTTTCTTCAGGGTTCAATCATTCATCAGGGATGAGCAAGTACTCTCAGGGTGCAACGTGTCAGATCGATTTCAGATACTGAACTTAGGTTTTCAGGTGAATTCCTCTGCAGAACCCTTTGGCTAGACCTCCAGCAAGCAGAAAGGGAGCCAAGAATGACTTGCTGGGCTGGAAATGGCTTCTTTTGTCCACAGAAATCCTATTCCTGCTGTGTTTTCCAGGGTTTTTACAATTTGTATGCTGCAGCCCAACCCTGGCTAGGTGTGTGCAAGCTTGAGCCAGTTGCACAGAGGCCTCTGTGCCTGCAGAGCTGCACCTTGCTGGCTTCCCATGCTCACTTCAAAGCCCTGGGACCCTGGGGCCACCTCCGGGAACCTCCTGAAGATGCAAAGGTGTGTCTGGAGGGCAGCATTAACCCATCACAGCTATGGGGAGGCACCTACCTTGCATAGCCTCTGGTCCTGGCTATCTGCCACCTAATCTTCCTGAGTCAAGTGCAGCAAGCAGGTGTTTCTTGAAGTCATGCCAGAGGCAAAATACTGGCATAATCAGGCTCTGGTTTACTCAATGCCTGTCTCTAATGAGGACGCTCTTTGAAGTTATAAATGATGTGGTGGTTGCAGCCAAGCATGTGCCTGGAGCCATCAATAATTAACAAGTTCTTGGGAAGTCTTAATGAGGGCTGCCGTCCTCTGCACCCCCCACCCCAAATCCTCTGCCAGCACAGCTCCATCTGCTGCGGTTTGGGAGTTCAGAGATTCTGCTGTAATAGACAACATATTTCTGCTATGGAGCATGGTCAACCTGTGGCCATAGTGCAGGTGGACCTCCAGTGTGCACATGGCCCCTTGCATCCCCAGAGAACCCTTGTGGGATGTCTTCTTTGCACCAGGACTAGGGCAGGGGGAGCTCCAAGTGCTCAGGAAGGTCTATCCAATGTATCATAGTTTTTGTTTAGCACCTTGTGTTTTGCTGCCAAAATCTTTTATAAATCAGTGGAAACCGAACATCCAGACCTACCTTTGGGATGCTTTTCTCTGCTGATGGAGAAGCAGAGTGGGGGTTTTGTTTTTAATTGGCTCCTTTCTGGTAGCATTTCTGAAGGGGCTGTCGCTTGGCTGTGCAGATGACACATCTGAAGATCCTTTGCAGACTTGCCTTGGCATGGCCAGTGCATTGCTCCACACCCAGAACACTTCACAAGCGCAAAGGAGAATTGCCCTGGCCTCCCTCCAAAGGCTGCCCCATCCTATCACCAGCTGTCAGAAGGTGGTGTGATAAATACCTGGAATGCACTGATTTGCCTTTAAGCTCTGATCATATCTTCAAGAAGTAGCAAAAGCAACTCAAAGGCAGGGTTGGGAAGTTGGGCATCCCAGGCCAGATGTATCCTAGTGAGAGAGAGAAAGGGGATGCCAATGCAGAGCGGAGTGTGAGCTGTACCTGCATGCAGCTCTTTGGAGAAGACCTTGGTGGGGATTCCTTGCTCACTGCCCATTTGGGGTTTGGTCCACAGACATGAAAGCCACACCTGGAGCTTGGAGCGGACGGAGAGTCTGACTTCAGATTCCCAGTCTGGGATAATGCTGTCCTCAGTGGGAACCAGTAAATGTAACAGCCCTGCGTGCGTGGAGGCACGGGCTCGCCGCGGGGCCACCTTCTGCATCGAGGACTCACGGAGGCCCATGACACAGTATCGTGACTCGGTGGATTCTCTGCGGGACTCACCACACAGCGAGAGGTCAGACCCCACGGCTTGGTGCTGCTCTGGCACAGCAGAGGAGAGCCATCCCTCTGTGCCAGACACAAAAATGACTGCCCGGCAGTCCTGTGGTAGCACTGGAGAAACTCCAGCTCTGGTCCTATCAAAGAAAGCCACTGCCCCAGGATGCCACTCTGGTAGTGCAGCAAGCACTGAACCCTGCCCACATGGTGACATTGTAAGTTTGGAACACAGGGGTGCAGTCAGCAACTGGTGAAGAAAACCCGGCTGAGAATACACCCTGGGCAGCTTGGTAGGCTGGCAGCTCAAGCAGGATCTGGCCCTCAGGTATATGGGGGAGACATGCGCATCCTCAGTGTAGTCCTGGATCGCTTAATGAGCAGGAGTGCTGAATAAGCAGACACCCCCATCGGCACTGCAGAGAGGAAATGAGATGTGCTCCTTAGAAAGAGGTGATGCTGAAGGAAGGGCTGTTTGAAGAGGGGCTGGGCCAGACCCAAGTTGCCACAGTGATGTTCTCACTAAAGTAGATGAAAGAAGTAGATGCCTTTTAGAGACACAAGGTTTTTGTTAAGCTAGAGGAAGAAATGCCCACGCTTTCCCCATCTGTGGCCTGAGCAGGGGGAGGGCATTTTGGGCAGCTTCCTCAGATGCAAGCCTTGCAGCTCCAGGGGGAGCAGAAAGCAGCTGTCGGGCAGATGAGTAGCAGGGAAGGCTGCTGGGAGATGGTACAGGGTTCGCAGCAACACAGGGTGGGAATTGCACACCAAGTCCCTTGGGAGAGGCAGTCCTGGGATGCACGGTGCATGGTGCTCAAGCATCCACTGAAGCCAGCAGCTCATCCTCCCTCAGCACAGCAGTGCAAGATCTCTCTGTCTGGTTCCACAGCAGATGCTGAGCTCCAGGACCATGTGTGTTGGAGCCCACATGGCTGTTCAGCAGAGCAGAGGCTCAGCTGGAGGCTTTGGTGTTGTTTGGTGTCTAAACAGATGTGTTGCTTCTCTCAGGTACGTGTCGGCACTGACCACACCAGCACGCCTGTCACCTGTCGACTTCCACTACTCAATGGCCGCACAGGTGCCCACCTTCGAGATCACGTCCCCCAACTCAGCGCACGCTGTCTCCCTGCCCCCAGCAGCCCCCATCAGCTTCCGCGTGGAGGAGCAGCAGCCCCTGCTGCGGCGGTACCAGCTCCCCTTCCAGGACACGCAGCGGTATGACAGCTACTACCAAAGGAAGACCTACCTAAACGACAGCATGGGCAGCCTGCCCTCCAGCCCCTTCCGCATCACGGAGGACGACGAGTACGAGACGACGCAGGAGTACGTCACAGCGCTAGAGCACCCAAAGAAAACAGCCAGCAGCAACAGGCGGTGGAAAAAATCCAAACTGAACGGGCACATCCCTCACAGAGCCAGAGCCGTCCGGGACTCCTTCTCCTTCAGCAGCGCCTCTTACAGTGAGTCTGACGAGGAGCTGGTGGCCGAGAGCACGCCGTTCCTAAGCACTCAGAACAATGAGGTGGTACACACAGGGTCGCCGCCGCTGCACCGGCCTGCTGACAGCCGGACTCACTACTCCTGCAGCAGGCACAGCGCGCCCGGGGAGAGCGGGCGCAGCAGCCTGGCGCACACGACGCCCAAACCCGACCCGGATCCTCTCTAGGCGCCTCCCAGACTGGTGTGCCCACAGACATGAGCTGCGCGGAGGAGGCCGAGGAGGGGAGATGAGACAAAACAAAGATAAATATTTTTATTTTATATAAAAGAAGGGGAGGGGGGGAAATTATAACAAATAAAATGTTTTATTTTCATTTTAGCAAAGTTGTCTTATAATAGCTAACGACAATGACTTTTTTATAAGGAATCTCTATTTATATGTAATGTCTTGATTTACAGCTTCCAAGAAAAAAAAAAAAAGTTGAAAAAAAAAAAAGAAAACAAACAATAAAGTTAAAAAAAAAGTGGGCCAATTTTTGACTACTTAAAAAATAGAAAAACAAAACTATCGTGGTGCCTTTTGCTGTACGCTAGTGCTGGGATTCATGCCGAGGAGTCTGTTTCAGTAGCATTTTTTAAGATCATAGATTTTTGTTTGGGAGACAACCTGTCACAAGGGAGCTCCTCCATTGGAAGAAAACAGCCTTGCCACTTTGTCCCGTACCCTGCTATTAATGATCTTATTCTTTAAGGTATTGTTTAAACACACATCAAGGACAGGAGTGGGAGCATTACCATTGTCATGTCTAATGGGGATCTGTCTTGCCCTGTAAATGCTTGTATTTTCGCTTAAATCAGAAGAAAAAGAAACCCAACAGCACCATACTGGAATGGAGAAGTGATGCTTCTTTTGCCACACAGGTAGGAAGAGAAAACGCAGTCACAGACACAGCAGCCCTGACAGAATAGCTCTCAAGTTGGGTTGGCACAGGTTTGTCAGACAAGGCAGATGCCCATATGAACATGGTGAGATAATGCCCCATCACGTAGGGTTGAGCCCAGCGCACTGCCCTGGCAGGCAGATGGCACGGTGTGGTGGTCCCGACGGAGCTGCGGTGCTGTACCAGTGCCATGCCAACTGCAGCATCCCCTTCACAGAGCGGTGTAGCTGCAGCATGGTGTTGCCATAGGGCTGCCGGGGCTGTGGTGTCCCACACACCATGGTTCAGGTGGTGCTGGGAGGACACATGGAGGTGGCCCCATGGCGCAGCATGGCCAAGGCTTGTCCTGGTTGCTGTGCCAGCGTCTGCCAGCCATGCTGTCGGGGGTTTGGTAGGAGCCAAAGCTCTCTGCTTGTCGCTCCAGTGCTGGCTGGACAGGCCCCGCGTGGGGCAGCCCCAGCAAGCGGATTCCTCTGTGCCATGCGTTGTAAGAACAGTTGTTACCGTCACATCTTGCCACCGGTGATGGACGTCGTGTTTCTAAGCTTGGAGCAGCTCTGGCCATCGGCTCTGTGGTGCAAAGAGACAGTCCTGCGTGTCCAGGCAGCAGAGCACCCCCGTGGAAGTGCCCCTCTCTCCTCAGTTCTCTGCAGCAAACCTGTTTACATTGTAGCCTGACTTTTTTCTTTTTATATTTTTACTTCTGCATGTCCTTTGCATTTCAGATACTGTAGATTGGATGCATGGTGAAGCTGTGACTGAGAAGATAATACAACAATTGACAGTGTATTATTTCATTTAACTTTTAGCAATAAAGTAACTAAACCCTCTATTCCTCACCCATGATGGGGTCAGATAGAAAACTCTGCTAATTTGTCATAAGATGATAGTCAAAGTTTGCTCTGGATTGTCTGAATGTCAGAACTCTCGACTGTTTAACACTTGAACATTTTTTATATTATAAATAAAATAAGAAATAACAAGCTGTGGGCTGCATTAATCTCAGGCACTTGGGAGAGCAAATGGGGAGCTGGTACCATACCCAGAATCACAGGCTGGTTGAGGCTGGAAGGGATTTCTGGAGGTCATCTGCTCTCATTCACCTTCCCAAACAGCTCACTCAGTTGCCCAGGACTGTGCCCAGTCAGGTTTTGAGTATCTCCAGGGATGGTGACACCACAACTTCTTTGGGAAGCCTCTGCCAGTGCTTGGTAACCCTCAAAGCAAAAAAGTGTGTTCATGTGTTCAGGCTGAATTTCCTGGTTTTTAATTGTGTGCCCATTGCCTCTGGTCTTGTTATTGGGTAGTACTGAGATGAGCCCAGCTCCTTCTTCACTGCCTCCCATCAGGTATTTATACACATGGACAGCACCGCCTCCCCGAGTCTCCTCCAGGCTGAACAGTCCCAGCTTCCTCAGCCTCTCCCCACCTCAACATCTGTAGAGACACTGAGGTGGGGGTTTTCTACCTGGTGTGGACGTTTGACTCGTGTCTGCACTGGAGACAGGTTGAGAGAGCCAGGCGTGTTCAGCCTGAAGAAGAGGAGGCTCTGGGGAGACCTTAGTGTGGGCTTTCAGTACTTTAAGGGGTCTTATAAGAAAGCAGGGACAGACCTTCTGGTAGTGCCTGTTGCAATAGGACAGGGGACAATGGTCTCAAACTAGACTCAGTGGAATAAATGTTTTGTTACAGTAAGGGTGTAGGAGCACTGGCACAGGGTGCCCAGGGAGGTGAGAGATGCACTATCCCCGTCAGTGTTCAAGGCCAGGTTAGATGGGCCTCAGAGCAGCTTGATCTAGCTGAAGATGTCCCCACAGGGGGGTTTGGACAAGATAAGCTTTAAAGGTCCCTTCCAACCCACACCATTCTCTAAGTCTACCTGGGGCTGGCACAGCAGCATCTGCATTACAAGAAGCTGCAGCTCCTGCTGGGGTGCAGCGCTGTGGGGTGTGCTCAGTGCTCAGTGTAGCTGACCCACACCAGGTGTCACCATCACGATCGGCTCTCCGACACCTTTGGAAAGGAGCTGTGGGTTTGCTCAGTGCTGTCCCATGCAGAGGGATGTTTTACCGCTCACTGGGATTTGTGATGCTTTGCATCTGCTGAGACACAGCGAGCTTTGTGCAATGGCAGCCTCGTGATTTCTTGTAGTGATTTCTTGTTCAACACGCCCCTTGATTCCCATTATGGTGTTCTATATTTGGAGGGACTTACACTACTTCAATTTTCTCTCCAATTGCCTCTAAAGGAAGCTTGTATCTCTCTCCTTTTTCCCTGACTGGTTTATTTTTAGGCCCCTCATTTTCATCCATGTGTATTCCTAGGTTTTGGCTGTAAACCCTTTACAGCAATTCTCACAGGTGGGGGCAGCCTCCTGCCAGCTCTATTCCACATGTATGATGCCTTTGCCACCCTTCCCGGGGGGGGAAGGAATTGCTTTGCGGGCACAGAGGGGGTGATGCAAGCAGGAGAGGAGCATCAGATCCTGGCTTTGGGATTGAAGAGCCTACAAAAAGTACATGTAAAGTGAATTTGGTGTCGGGTCGTGTCTGGGAGAAGGGGCCTGGCAGGAAGGTCAGGCTGCACCAGCACCAGCACTGCCTGCTGGAGGGGCTGGCACAGGTGGGGCTGTGCTAGAAAGTGCATTTGGGTACCTCAGTGAGAAAAAGATGTGGCTGCTTAATTCGTCTGAGATGCTGCTCTTCTCTCTTGGTGAAAGGCTGAATCCTTCACCTCCAAGGAGGGAAAGAGGAAGAAAGCAAGCATTTTCTTCCTGGTCACAATCTGAGGCTTCAGGTTGGTCAAACAAGGCAATTTGGCTGCTCAGCACTTCTCCACATCCATATGCATCCAGATCAGAACTTGCTCATCAGGGCAAACTGCTGGTTGTCAAAAGGTGCCAGTTTAACCCTCCTAGCTGCCTTGCCAAGGGCTGTTTAACACCATCTGCCATCCCTTTCCACATCCATTAGGTGGTGAATCTCATGCCCCTGACACCCTCTCCTGGTGCCCACAGGAGGGTTCACAAGATCCTGCTTTTCCCTGGAGCTTACTCCCAGCTGAGAATGGCTGCCTGGCACCTTCAGCATGAAGAACTGAGCTGCCCTTGGTGGTTTCAAACACACTGGAGATATCCCTGCCTGCTGGAGGGGGCCGTCAGAAAGGACGGGCTGAGGTACAAACATATTACCTGGGATTTTGGTGAGGATTTGGCTTTCCCCCAGGTTTTCGCAGTGTGAATCTGGGCACCAGATGCTTCGTGTGAGTAGCAGCATCTTAGAGTTCTTCAGTGAAAGGGATGCCTGTATAGTGCCTGACACAGCAAAGCAAATGATGCCTCAGAGAAACAGCCGTGACACTCGGTTTAGTCCTGGGTTCCTCTGGGAACAGTTCCCAGGACATCTCCAACCACCAGTGCAGATACTGGTATTTTTCTCCTCCCATAATCCTCTGTGTCGCATGGGGACAGACAGATGTGGGATGCAACAGAGGGTGGGAAGAGTTACCTGAATGTGTTCCCAAAGCAGCCCATCTGGCCACACTTGCTCCATGGGTGAGCTATCCATCAAGAGCACAAGCAGGCCAGTGTTTCCAGCACCCAGGAGGATGGACAGGCTGGTACTCATGGAAAGGCACTGTGATTTTCCAGCACTGTCTGTCAATAGGAACCTGATTTCCATGTGGCACTGGTGGAGGTCTGTGTCAGCCCAGCCATTCAGTGCTGTGAAGCCTGGGACCAATCCAGTGCATGGTAGAAGTATACTTCAGACCAGTTCTCTTTACCAACAGATTCAGCTTTATTGTTATTCTTTTTTACATGATTATTAGTGCATCCTTTCAAATAAACTATCAAACTGTACAAAGAAACAGAGATAAAAGAAGAGGTGACAAAGCTGGGCAGAGGTTTTCAGTGTCATGAACCATCATGGAAAACAGTAGTCCATAGGCTCTCAAACATTGAAGGTTCAAATAAATCTTACTTGTTTGTTTTAAAAAAAAGCTGCAAAATATAAACCATAAATGACTGTAATTAGCAGCTACAAGATCCTTCAAAACTGGAACTTGATTACTGTGAATGCACCTAGGGGAAAGAAAAGCAATCTGAGATAAAGGACCAAAGCAAACAGTGAAATAAATAAATAAAGTGTGGGAGGACAGTCGTGGTGTGGAAATGCAGAGAAATCACTTTTAGCACAACAGTAAATCATTAGACCACAGACAGCAGAAAGGAACAGAAACACAATTCCCCGCTTAAAAGAGTATAGCATGTGCATCGCAAATGTAGGCAGTACGACAGTGATGGGCAGGTGGAATCACTCCTGCACATGAAGGTTTGGCTGGATTCAACGCACGGCTCCAATCATGCCTTGAACCCCAAGTGGCAGATGCCATGGATGCTAAATAAGCAGCCATTCGGGCAGTCTGTCTGAAGGAGCAGGAACAGGAGAACAATGTTTCACACCAAAGCCAGGTGGGATTTCCATTCCAGTAAAAAAAGGAGGGGAAAGAAAGGAAAAAGGACACATAGGCTACTGCATTTCTTAAAACAACTTGCTGGGCTGGTCAGACCCTCCACGGTCTCTTGTGTCTTCCCCAGGCAGCTAGCCTTCACTGTCACACTGAGGTTAAAAACCCACATTAAAGTTTCCTTATATATATATATATTTATTTATATATATTCATATGTATATATATTTATATATATATATAAAAAAAAGGATAAGGTGACAGAGGGCACTTTGGGGCCCTCCTGCCGTGGGCAGATGAGACGCCTCTCGCTTGGTCGGTGAGTGGCTCATGACACCCATGCTGCCACCCTGCTCACCGGTGCTCCTCTCATGGGAGGGACCTGCTCCCCACCACACTGTGCCCTTCTCTGGGAGCGCTGCTGGTGCCACAGACCAACATCTCGGCTCAGTTTCCTGCACTGCCGAGCGCTGTGGACAGGAACTGGAGGGGACTCCAGGGAGAGAAGGAGGAGGAGAGAGAGGGCTGGTGGACAAAAGAGCAACCTGGCCCTTAGAGAACCAGCATATCCATTTGTTGTACAGGCTGTAGTAGGAGGGAAATAAAAGCCACTGGTGCTGTTGGAGATGAGGAAGAGATGGTGTGTCTATGATGCTGAAATGCCAGAGCATTGCCAGAGAGTGTCAACTAAAGCTTCTTTGATTTCTTTCACTAGAGCAATCACCGTGTCATACACGTCTGTGGTTTTGCTCATGTAATTTCCTAGGTAAAATTGTGCTCATCAATCTGTTCCAGGAGCAAAGCATCGCCGGTTCATCCCGCTGTGCACACTTTCCTTATTAAGTGTTCTGCTCTAAAATGTCCTTTTCCACCTTACAGCTGATGGACATGTGCCCTTGGCTTAAGGAAGGGCTGGAATGTGTCTTCCGCAAAGCAATGTCGTCAGCTTCCACCTTAAAGAAACTGGTTTCAATTCTCTCCAGGTCATCTGTCCCGACTTTTATCTTCATGCACAGCAGGTTGATGTATGTCTCATAGCGGCTCTTCTGCAGGGAAAGAGGGTACAGAAAGCTGGGAACAGGGACAAGCTATGACATATGTGGAAAGCAGATGCAGTGCATGTGCTACGGTAGGAAAACCTATCTTATATCATCAGGATCCCATTATTCACACACAACAAGTACTGTTTAACCATAGCACAATGCCTGGTCTATGAAAAGTCTGCAAAGAGGGATCAACACATCATTGAAAGGGTTGAGGAGAAAGGGGAAGATTATGCAAGCCTCTCCATTTGCTTTTAGGGGTCTTGATTGCCACTCTGATTGTATAAGGTAGATACTGGTGCTAAAATGAAATTAATAGATCTGCTCCTTCCTTATTTAGGAGTTCCCCTCAATTGGTTCAAATGCTTCTGCTTGCCACTGTTTCCATCTAGTGATCCACTTATTACTGATGAGTTGTGTCCCCATTGCTCTTCATAGAGCACACACAAAGGGAGGCATCTCATCTTTATTCCAAGGCAAGATGGGACCTCTTTTCATAGACTTGTATAACACTCCTCTTTCCCCTAACCTCTCTGAGGCAGTCTATACTCAGTTCTTTGTCTGCACAGAGAAACAAGCATTTCTAGAGCAGATCTCATAAGAGAGATGAGATGAATTATGCTCTGGAAGTGCCAGCTTCTTTTTGCAGACTGAAAAGGCAGCTCAGATGGAGACTGCTCTGCAGGCTTCCAAAACAAGATGTCTGTAAAACATGAGACAGCAACAAGCAACTATTTGAAAGACTGCTACTAAAACAAGGGAACCATCAGCCAGAAACTGGCTTTGGAGAGTTAGGCTGGGTGTTATACAAAACAGTGGTACAGACCTGGTATGAGAGAGGTGGAACACTCAGCCTGAGATCATAGTGGGAATAATCTAAACTGCTGCTGGAAGTAGGATTAGAGGCTTCCAGAAGTCCCTTCCCACTGACATCTATGTGGTAGGATCATACCCTCTGCTCAGCTCTCACTGGAACACAATATCCCATTTCTCTCCCATTTAAATGCTTCTTAAACATCTCAGAGATTCTCAACTTAGCTACATGCATCCTCAAAGGGAGGGCAATCAGCTGTAATGCTGGGTTTGGCTTTATTTACAGAAAGGATTGCAGTAAACCAAGATTAATTCTCCCAGGGATTCCCTAAGCTTTTCATTAATGTTGCTGAAAAAGACTGATTCACACTGAGAACTGAGCCACTTTCTTACTTGGGACCTGAGAAAATGGCAAGTTTCACACAGTAAAGGAAGATTTTCTTTCTCTCATCAGTTTCCCTCTCCTCTGATTAGAGATGACAAGGGGTAGGAAATGTCTGTTATTTCTTTTTTTAGCTTCAGTGCAAAACAGTGAGTCTTGCTGCTGCCCCAAGACACCCATCCAGCTTGTGAGCCCTCATCCTTCTCCCTCCTTTCACAGCATCCACTCCGGAGTTCTTAGTTCTCCTCAATCAGTCAAGATATCATTTATCACAGAGAAGATGAAAGTTCCTTTACCTCGAATATTAGGTAATGTTCTTTGAGTCTGTATTCCTCAGCCTCTTTTGACTTAAGGCTCTTCTCTACAGGATGTAATTTATGCTCTGCTAATTCATCTGCAATCTGCTTCATTTTATTTTCATGAGACCTCAGCTGTTCCTCCTGCCGAGAGAAGCGTGTCAGGTATTAAAACACAGGAGGGCAACATCCAAGTGCACTGCCTGCCTATTGATGTGGGATCTGCCTCTGCAAGGACAGAAGCTCAGCTACCACACTGGAGCCAAAGGTGTGCAGCACATTTCCAAATTTATCTGATAAGGAGCAGCTGAAACACAGGTATTTGAGTGAGATCAAACCTCAGGTGCTGCAAGTGCCAAGAGTGGATTTCTCTGGAACCTGGGTTTCTTTAGCATCATAAACACGAAATGCTCTACATCCTTTAACAGCCAGGCAGAACCAGAATTGTCCCAAGAGCAGCTCATTCTGCTCTTTCTGCAGAAAAAAGTGGACTGGACTCTGAGAAAGGCAGCATCTGGCCACATCTGGTTCAGCAAATAGGAGCTGTACCTCTGCCCTGACATTTCAGGCTGTCCTCCCTTTTGCTGGGGAGCAGTGACAGTGTGTCCCTACGTTTTGGAGGTGCTAAGGCATGTTGGGGTTTCCTTGGACAGTGCAAACAAAAGCTACTCTTTGCATGGCACATACCATCCAAAATAAACCAGGGCTATAATCAGCTGTTGGGCTGAGCAGCACCAGCTGCATCAACTCCAGCAACAGAAAGGTGCTGGGATATGATGGGCAAAGAGTAATAAGCAGGAATCAACAGCCATACATGCATAGGAAGCATTGGCCAGACACCAGGATTTGTCATGGTCTGTCCAAATTGCCCACTCCACTTCCCTGTTCCTGCCCTGAGCACCTGAATCAGGCAGGAGTTGGGGATGCTGCAGACAGACACAGACTGAGCTGTGTGCCGAAGGGCTGGCTGAGCTCTTCCATCACTCCTTCTCTCACACCTTACCTGGCACAGCTTGGTCATGGATGAAGGCAGGAGTGGGCGGCAGAACTTCTTCATGGAGCAGATTGCAGCTGGGAAGGCTGGGGCAGAGAAAATGGCAGCAACAAGGTTGATTCTCAGGATCCAGGAGAGCATTTCTTCCTTACTTCTGTTTATGGAGGAGGGGAGAAGAGAGGGGTTTTTGTAAATGCTCCTGACCCAGCACCAGCCACCTCAGAACAGCTCTGGAGCTCCGCCTGCTTTCAGGAGTGCCATTGGTAGCCTTGCTTTGAAGGCATTCCTGTGCCAGCCTGGGTTGTGAACAGAGGAAAACACCGGCTAATTGGCTCCTCTACAGTGCCCAGATGATTTCAGGGCTCTTGTGGGCTTCTTGAAGCCCTGGGAAGCCTCCCTTCCTCCTCAACTGATTGCATTTCCTGAGGAGATGGGGAGAGGTAGCATGGTGTCCACGACCAAGGACATCCTGCTCTTTGGAGAGTTAGAGCCACATAGCAGAGGTCCCACAGAGCAGCCTGGACCCCTCGTTTGTGTCATTTGTGGGACACAGGATCCCTCATCAGATGTGTTCAGGGACTGCTCCTCCAGCCCTCTAGTGGGCTTTCACTGCACAGATGTCAAGCTTGATCTTGACATTCGGACCTTCAGCCCAACTTACAGGCAATGTCACCTATCTCAGTATGAGACAAATAAAAACCCCATCAGGCTCAATTACACTTGACACTTCCTAGCAGAGGAACTTTCCTCTGCAGTGGACGAAAGAAGAAAAAGATATAGCCTGGCTGCGGAGACTCCTTTAATGAGCTTTAGACAGCTTCCCCATCAAAAGCTGACAAGGGGAACCACCAGCTCCTTAGTTCAGTGCACCATATAGATTTTCTCCCTTCCACAGACTGACAACAGAAGTTAGGTAAGGGGAGTCCTTTACTCGGCCCTTTACATCCCAGCCCATCCTGCTCAGCACAGCTTGGCGACACATGAGAAAGGACCTCCAGGAGAGACAAACAAGCTGTCAAGAGCAACAGGTAGAAACTATGACCAAATCCTTTGCACAATCCTACAGACCTCACCTTCATCTCTCCTGCTTAGCACCTTCCTCCCCACAGGTTTGTCCCCTAATGCCTGTGTTGATCTGGCCAGGTCGGAGGGAGTCTGGTGGTGGCTGGAGGTCAGGCTGCCCATCCAGGTTCTGTGGGAAGAGCTGGTACTTACGGGGCCTGGAAGAGGAAGACTCTCCAGTCAGCTGTCTTCAGCTTGAGCACGTTGGACTTCTTGCTGTAGTCAGAGGCTTTGGTGGCTAAGGCGTGGTGCACACGGATGGCGTTTTTCAGATCTACTTCAGAGAGGTCTTTGTCGGGTTTGTATTCATCCTGCGGAGAGGAACGATAATCGGATAATGACAACACTACCATTTGTGGGCTACTTTAACGAACCTGCCTTTCTCTGTGTGTTATAATCACAGAGTGCCAAGAGCAGGAAAAGCGCTGCTTTGCACCATAACTGCGAGGAGCTGATAATGATAATAATTAACATCTGGCAAATTCTTCTGTCATTAAGTTCACTGGGAAGATGTGAAGAAGGAGATGAAACTTTTAAACGTAATTATCAATAGTTCTGTCTAACATGGCACATGCCTGAGGCTTTGGGGGAAGGTTTCTGCAGAGCTTCCCACAGTGCAGAGCCTGTATCAGTGACCTGCCCTGATGCTGTAGCTGTGTGATAAAGCATCTGGCTTTGGGTTCTGCATCATCTCAGGCAGGTCTGAAGCCACTGCACCTCCGTGCAGGTCAGGGGATGAGCCTGGCTTGCCCTGCTGATTACAGTGCAAATCTACAAGACTAATTCACTCTTATATTTTGTTTCCCTTGACTGTCCTTGGCTGTCAGCACAGGGATGGCTCTGTCTGATGGAGATGGTCTATGTACCCCAGCCCTTCTTAGCTTTCAAGCTAGGCCTTGGTCTGTTCTGCAGATCTGTGAAAAGATGTTATTTTCCCTGTGTCCTGCTGGTACAAATCCAGGGGAAATTCGTGCTACAGTTTCCTGGTTGCCAGCCCTGGTCAGTAAGGCTGTTCTCTGGCCAGAAAGGTCTCCTCTCCGATGCTCTTCAGAGCACCAGGAACCAGCACTCCCTAGCCCACGGATATGGCTCACCTAGATCCTTGCTTCTGATGAGAAATAAGTTTCCAAAGCCTTTCCTTCCTTCCTTTTTAGAAGCAATCATCCCAGATGATTGGTGTGGTTGCCATACTGCGTTCACTGGCATGTGATATTTGCCCATGTGCAAAGAAATGTCATGGGACCCAGAGCCCAGAGATGTCTGGTATGGGCTCCTGGCTCATACAACTGCCTTGTTAAGGGTGAACCCCAAAGAAAAGCCCTGGATTTCCTGCAAAGGAAGGGGTGGCTGCTATAGGCACCCTGCAGTCAGGGTGACATCCAGAGGGGCTGCACTGCATGGCAGTATAGATGAACTTTCTGCAGCAGGGATTTCAGGAGTCAGAGGAAAGGGCTATCAAGTTTTTAACAACGAGCAACAAATGCTTTGCCCTATGACGACCTAATATGTTACCCCACTTGGAGAGAAATAGTTGCTGCCCAGGCCTCATGTATTGTAAAGACATTTCCAATTCTGGATGTTTTTCCAAGGCTGAAACTCTTTGGATCTGAATAAGTCTGGCTGTGATACCCATGATCTCTCATTTCAAGATAAGCTTTCCAAAAATACAAGTGCAAATTGCTAGGCTTAATGGCATGTGACAAGAAGAAACTGCCACCACTGCCAACTGGTTTGACTAATGCAGATCTTCACCTCGAATGGTATCATCATGTATTGCCTCTACTGATTTCAGGCTCAGAGACATCAATTTAGATGTAAGGAAAAGCCAAATCTTCTTTTTTCTAACACTTGGCCTAGTAAACCAGCATAAGGCTGAATCAAGCAGGTTTTTCTGCCTTCTGCCTCCCTGCTGGTGGAAACAGGCTGTGTTTGCAGGAGGACATGATGCTGGAGGCTCACTTAGGCACTTAATGCCTGTGCTGCAATCGTTGTAATTCTCTGTATGACTGTTGCTGCTGGGAGACCTCTCTGTCCTCTTAAACAGGTACCCTCCACGCACAGCTCCAATGCTGCACAATGCCTCACACACACAGCTGGAGCCCACCACAGCGCTCAGCACTGACACCGTAGTGTAGGCTCCACCATGTAGCCTTTCCCTGGAGAATAATCCCATGCCCTCCAGCAAAGCATGTCAGCTCTGCTCCAAAGCCTCCAGCAGCTTCTCTACATTTTGCTCACTCCCTTTATGGGCTTTGATGTCAGTTTAAGTGCATGCACAAACTGCTGCTGAGGAAGAGACATGTCCAAAACCATAACAGTAACTCAGATGCTTTCAGTGAAGGGATTAAAGCTCAAATAAACCAATTCATACTAAAACATAGGCAGTATCATATTTGCAGTAACTTCAGGCAATGTCTTGCCCACGCTATAGTACTGCTAACCTCACTCTCACCTTTTTCTTGGTGCTATTATCCTGCCATAGAAGTCCTGGCAAAGAAGTTAATTTGGTATCACAGGGATGTTGAATTTCTCTCTTACATGTCCTGCACTGTTCACACAGATACTTCTCACTAGGAAATGGGCAAGGTAATGCTGTGCTACACCATTCCATATACCCTTAGCCCCCAGCCCTTGAATGGTGACATGTTTATTTCCCCATAGATGCAACAATTTTTCAGGGTCTGTTTTGGTGATATCTTATGCAGGAATTGAGTCCAGATGTGGAAGCTTTGTTTCCGAATCCCTCTAAATTAATCTCATTCTCTTTCAGTTTTTAATGTTGATGGTGTAGACAGTGCATTTATGTGCCTCTCCTGCCTTCACAAAAGCTCTGCTTAAACATGCATGACCACCCCCTTGCATGGGATTAGTTTGTGCCATGGCAGTCCTCCATGGTGTCTTCAATTCACATTTCTCATGCCGGCTCTCCCCTGTTGCCCACTCCTGCGAGTGAGTGGTAGGAGATCCATAACTAATATGAATTCCCCATCTTAAAACTTGTTTTGTCAAGAAAATGTGCCTATCTTTCATGCCTGCCTCCATAGGGAACCTGGATGGGACGAGAGAGCCCAGTGTGTTGGTCCTGCTACCCTCTCCTCTGCAGTCAGCACTACTCAACACTAGCCCTGGGCAGTGATTGGAATATGCACATGGAATTACAGAGATTTCTCATGCTCTGGCTGGTGAGTGAGTTTTCCTCCTTTTCCTCGGCTCACATCTGCCACCTTAAACAAACCATGTAATGAGGAAAACCAACCACTGTGCTCTTTTCACTCTGGTCATGAAATTGGCTCTCGAAGTAGCACTACCATGTCAAGGGCCTGCCTGCACGGGACAATATCTGTGGCTCAGGACTGCAGTGGGAACTCCTTCATGGTTTGGGTCTGGAAGACCTGCACCCTTACCAGGACTTCCATATAAAAGCACTTCACGCTTTATAGCTCTCCATCATGCCTCTCAATACCCCTCTATGTGTGGTGATTAAGGGTTATTATCCCCATTTCACAAAGGTGAAGTAAGTTGCCAAAGGCCATGGAGTGAGTCAGTGCCCAGTGCAGATTAGAGCACAGGAGAGGTGTGCGTTGCTCCCTGCATTTCTTCCCCCAGATTGTGCTGCACCCCTTTAGGGGATCAAGCAATTGCTTCAACAGACTATGCTAGAACACGCTAATCCAGCAATTAACACTGGAGTCAGTGACATGTGACATCACCCCATCAGCAGGTTTATGGCTGCTGCCCGAATTGCTTCAAACAAACTTATACCTGTCCACCCACCCACTCTTCTGCCTATTTTATGTCCACCTCTCTTTGCATCTGCCTATTCCTTCCTTCTATACATCACCCCCGGCCCTTCTTCCATCTCTCTCTTATTTCTACTCAATTTGCTCTGCAAAACCAAACTGAGAAGAGTTTCCTATTAAACTTTTGGGAATTTGCTGTTAAAGCCTAGATCCTTAGTTTGGTCAGAGCGAAAAACGGCAATAGGCTGAACCTGTGCTCCATGGCATCAGGTGGGTCTGGAAACAGGTACTTTCTCCTCTATCTTCACATCAGAAGAGCTTTTCACAGTGGTTTGTGATAAAGCCATGTTCTACTCATGTTTATTTGCAGGCATCTTCCACTGAGAGCTTGGGAGGCTGGCACACTTCTCCTTCCCACATTGTGTAATTTTTGTTTTGCAAACCACCCCATAGGCACAAAATTGCACTAAGAATCCACAGGGCAGGTGGACGTTTAACATCCTCTTGTGGTGCTTGGAATGCTTGGAAGTGGCAGGGCAAGGACTTTGTCTTCATGGTCTCATGCTTCTTCCCTGTCTCTGCAAGCCTGATAGACACTGTCTACAGCCCAGCCCAAGGAATACTTTGAAGAGGGCCATGTAGTCTGGCAGCATCTCAAGACTAAGAAACCCCTCTTTCCCCAAATCCTTTGTCCAAACATTCATAAGGTTAATTTTTGTTGTTGTTCCAAATTGTACTTCCTTGGGGCACCCTTGACAATTCTGGTCTCTCCTGCTGATTACATATCAGTCATGGCTGTTATTTGTCAGACAGTTTCATAATCCAGCCATATCTCATGTGTTCTGCTTCTTGAGTCCTTGACCTCAATCAAGAAAGCCCTCAATCTCTTAAACCGAAGGTCATCTAGATAATAACACTGGCCTTCTAACTGACATGTCAGTCTCATCCTCACTCTCTTTTTAAATCTTAAACCTAGTACTAACATAAGGAACTGTGTTAATACAACAGTCTGGATGGTCATGCTCCTAGCCTTGCACAGCAAAGAAAACCCAGCCCCTCTGCCCCATCAGCAGCAATGACACTCAGTGCTCGCTTCATGGCTCTTTCTACTGCTGTCCAAGCAGTGAGGTAAACCTTCAGTAAACTGAAGTAAACACCGTGGGAAGAAAATCCTTTCGGTGTATTTCATTCTGAACATACTCCCTCAACAGACTCATCCCAAGAGACATGGGTCTTGGTGAAAAAATCATTTAGTTCTAAATGGTTCCTGTGATTTTGATGAAATTGCATTTCCTCCATTCCCTCCCCCCACTCCCCAAAAGCTGTCATAAAATTAAATGTCAATGGTAAATCCTCATGGTCAGAATGAGGACCTCTTTGGTGGACTCCATGTGGAGGCTTGTAACAAGACAAGAGACTGAGATGTAAGAATAGTGCTACTGACTTGAAGAACTCCATGCTTTGAGAGATGGAGAAAATCTGGGCTCTCCTGTATGCTGCAGCTTCCCCCAGCTGCAGGAGACAGTGGCAAGGCTGCAAAAACACCACTTGGCTAAGAGTAACCCATACTGTAAATTACAGCTGGCTCCTGCCAGACGTCTTTTGGCTCTGTGACATGTGCCATAGGATCTGGCAAAACATGAGAACCACTGGGGTGTGCTACGAGCTCTGAGTCATAATTCCATGCTGCCCTGAGGATCTTTCTGCCTTCCTTATATAATCCAATGTTTGTTTACTCTCATTGCTCTGGAGATGATGCTGCAATGCCTAGGAACATCTACCCACAGGGAGTGCTGTTCCAGCAAGGTGAGTTCAATGGGTTACTGCATAGCATGAGCTACCTACTAAGGTAGTTCAGTCTTAGTTCAGTGGGTTATGCCATGCATGATGAACAGACATTTGGCATCCCTGGCTGGCTCACACTGACATTCAAGTGAGCCCCTATGCAGGCTTCTTGGGATTTTCCCGCAGAAAAGACTATCCATGGAAATCCTCTTAGCATACAAGTGTCTCAAAAGGCAGAGACAGGAATGCAATAGCACACAAGGAAGCTCATCCATAGTGACTCTGCCTCCAGTGAGGACCTGAGATTTATACTTGCATTGACTAAAGGCTGCTACAGAATGAACGGAGATGAAGAGAGGGAGAAAGTGTCACGTGGCAACCCATGGATGGACCCAGTTCAGCAAGGTCCTGATGGAGAAGATGAACTTTCAGCATGGTTTATACCAGACTCAGTGAAGCTGTTCATAACCAGATCTGTGCCAGCAAACAAAACAATAGGCAGGATAAGACTGGTCTGATGCTTCGCCTCTTCAGCTTCCTATTGCGTGTCTCACCTTATTTCACCAACTCCCTATGCCATCTGTTCATTCATCCTCCCCAACAACTCCTACTTGCTGGGACATTACTGCAGAAATCTTGCTTCAGTGTTCCCTCTTTCACACTTATTCCTGTATTGCCCTCTTCTGAGGCTGTGAATAGTGCCTTTAGCATGAATACCACCATCAAGATGACAGCACCCTCCAGTTCATTATATTGGTCTCTGGAGGAGCTCTGTAGATGCCCATGCATGCATTTGGACATGGATTCACCTCTACTTGCATCTGTGGGTCTCCTTTTTAGGACAGTATGACTGCTTTGGAGACAGCATGAAACATCAAACGGGATAGTCCACCACAGTTACCTTTTGTAAATAAAGGACGGTCCCTTTAAGCACAGCATAAAATTTCTTCCAGCCTCTTCTTCCTCTGGGAGCTAAAACACGAAAAACATTGAATTATACATGCCTGCTTCTGCCACTGCTGTTTGACCTCCACATTTCTGACAAAACAAACCCTTCTCCTGACCCACCACTGGCATACATTGATGGCCAGACATAATATACCTCCAAGCTATTCATTATGAGTTGCTTGTCTCCAGGGACACATGGTTGAGAGACATGGGCTGGGATATGCAGCCTTCCAGCAGGAACACAAGCAGGTCAACAACTGAGATGAGCACAGTGGACATGTGCAGGAAGCCTCTGCTCCTCTAAACCCAGGTTCGTGTTCCTTGGACTAAGTGCTTGAGGAGCAGAGACATTCCTTGAGCTCTTCTGTTTCAGGTAGGTTAGGCAGACACAGCTTGGACAAGGCAGCTTCTGCTCCACTGACTAAGGAGCATTACCACCAGCTGTTTTGGTGGACCTGGAGACAGAAAGCTTGCTGGAAGCTGGAAAGGGAGGGGAGGGGAGGGGAGCCATTTACATCACCACAAGACAGCTGATCCTCCAAGCACAGGCTATTAAGAAAGTGGTGGAAGCAAGGGAGGTCTTTGGTGGTAATCTCTACTCAAGACTGCAGTGACTGGGTCAATCATATTGTCAGCAAAAGGAGTTATTAAGGGTTTTATTAACCCCTGCTCAGTTCCCAAACATATTTTCCTTTACCTTTCCTGTCATTCCATATGCTGTCAGCAGAGCTGTGCTGCATCCCGCTGCCCAGGCAGCACACAGCAGCTCTTCCCAGCACATGGCAGGATATGGACAGAAACAAAGCTTCAAAAACCAGACCAACACTAACGCTGGGGTTGAGATGGGCAACTGCTGTGGAACCAGCTTAGAGTGTGGGATTCAGGGTTATGCCCATGAACAGGGTGGAAGACTAGGTCTACCTGTGTGGGACAGGCACAGGTTCTTTGGAAGACTGAGGCCCCCTGAAAACATGTCTACAAATGCCTCAGGAGACCCTCCTGTCCCTGTGCCCTGGCACTCATGGATCTGGGGATCTCTCATGTGTTCCCCGGGAAGCAGTGAGTTGATACAGGAGAGCCAGGGAAAAGGCCAGGGCAAGGCTCTGCTACTCCCTGGGGCACACCTCCTCCCGTCCCATTAACACGTACTTCTCTTCCCATCCATGTCTGCATGGGTTTTCCGTGTGAGGACACCATGCTTGTAGGTGACTGCGTTCAGCGCTTGGGGGATGTCCAGGAAGGGGTTGCTGCTGTCAACAATCCTTGTCACTTTCTTGGCGCTGGCTCCAAATTTGTCATCTACCAGCTCCGAGAGCGACTTCCTCAACTCGTCCTCATCGCTTGGAAACAAAGTCAGAGAACAGATTGAGTGGAGGACATGCTGGTCGGGTCACAGTGTGTCCATCTCATTTGGTTTTAAAGAGAGCTCTTTATTACAAGTCTGGTCAGGGAAATAAGGTAGAGATAGAGGGACTGTAGCACTCAGTGTGCCAATGGTGGTGATCAGGACATAGTTGTGAGGAGGGTGGGTGGCAGGTACCTGTCCCAGTGAGGCTACTCAAAGCAGGTGAGGGAATGAGTGCTTGTTTGAACACCAGGAAGCTGCAGACGAACCATTGCTGAGGACTGCAAGCATCCCACAGGGACAGTCTCATAAAATGAGAGGTCTTTTGCTGAAGATGAGCTGTCACTGGTTTCTCAGCCTCTGAGGCAGCCCCTACGGCCTCCTAGATACTGAAGGAGCTTGAGGGATATCCTCTGCATCTCTGAGGAACAGAAGCCCTGCAGACATCAGGGAGATGGACCCCTGATCAAAGACCCACAAACCCTGGGACGGGTTATACATCAGCTCCCCATTTGTGTCCTCAGCGTGAGCCAGCAGAGAGCAAGAAATACTGGTCATTTCCATAAAACCTGCTTCTCCTCACGGATATCCTGGTCCTGGACCCTGGATAGCATGGGCTGAGCAGCTTAGGGAAGTGTCCAGTGACTCCACCATGCCTGTTTGAAGTAAAATCTACTCTGGTGCTTAGAAACTAGAATCTGTATGGAAAGTGATGCTTTCCAGTGTCTCTAGGACATGGAGGGAGAGCAAGCAGGGAATTTCTGCTCTGTGTGATACATGTCAGTGTCTGAATGGTATCTGCAAACTTGGGTTGCAGCTTAGATTGGGACCAAACCTCAGCTGAGGGGATGAATCCAGTATCTGGGATGAAAAGAAGGATGATTTCTCAGCCCTCAGCACCCACAGGAGCCCTGGCGCTTAGGCAGAACCCAAGCACTCTGCCTGGGTAGGGATTTAGTGGGGCTCAGCTCTCTGAGCTGCACCAGAGGGACCCCTCTGAGCTCAGGCTTTCTGCTGGGATGATGGCCATATACCTGCCTGTCTGACTGGGTTTTGCGAGCAAGGGCATTTCATTCTCTGGGATGACAAGGACAGAAGACAGAGGGAAACCTGTGCAAGGTTACAACTCAGTGCCACGTCTCTGAAAGAAAACCAGGTACCCACGTCCAGGAGCATCTGTCCCACAGCAGAGGAGCTGAGTGGTCTCTCATGTTGCATCCTGTCCACCTGCAACCAAGCAGGACACCCTGCAGCAAGGCAGGTCCGAGGCCGGTGTGGGGTGAATGATGGGGTGGAAGGATACAAGCAGGATGGGTAGAGGAGGGCAGGAGTGGGGCAGATGCTGCTGAGTGGAGCTGCAGCGCTGCAGGAGGATCCCGGGGTGCTGACACCCCCCGGATGTGCCCAGCCATGCAGCGTGTGCTGGCAGGCGTTGTGTAACCACTGCCTGCATCCAGCCAGCAGATGCACTTCTGCTGAACTCCCCTTACATAAACCATCCCACCAGCACCTTCTGCGGAGCTGCAGAGCTCCCTCTCGTGACCACGTCCACCAGCCGACCCTGCCGCTGCTGCAAAGCTGGCACCGCTGCTTTCTCGCACAGATGCCATGCAAGATGACATTTCTGGACTGAAATTGGTGCTCTGTCACCTGCTAAGAAACCACTGCCCCTCCGAGGACACTGCTGGCTTTGTCCCTCCCAGAGGAGACACCAGCCCACAGTGATCACTGCTGCCATCAGGGCATGGCTGGCAGTGGAGACTCCTGCTCTGCAAAGCTTGACCCAGGTAGCTGGGGAGGGAGATAGGATTAAACCACTTCTCTGGCCAGGACAATGAAAAGAGCAGGTGATGGAGCTAATGGCCTACAAGGTCCTGCTCAGTCCCATGACCCTCTGTAGACAGAGTGGTCTGAGGCTAAGGAGGAGAGGAGAGGGAAGATGTCCACAGTGTTAGCTTGAACCCCCAGGTCTGTCATGGGCTTCCCCATGGCACTGGTGGGGCGGCATCTGGGCTGGGAGCACAGTGCACCCCTTGCTGAGGGTCCTGCCCTTTGCTCTGGCAGGAGGTGTGTAGCAGAGCAGGGGAAGCAGGGCTGAGGAAGATGCTGTGTGAACCTCTCATAGAGGCCATCATGCTGTTCCCAAACTTGTTCCAGGGTAACAAATGATGATGTGGAAGAGCAGACAGTGCATCTCATTGAGTGTGTGGACAACATAAAGCGAGAGGTATGGAGCCACCACCCAGAGGAACAAGAGCCTCACTACATGCAGCACTCCAGTACGGCACAGGGGTGGAGGGGTCCTGCAGAAGGACCGGATGGGGCTGGCTGACTGGGCAGCAGCTCCGCAGAAACGGCCCTAAGGCTGCAGCGGGATGAACGGAAGCAGTCAGTGGGCTGTGTAACAGCGGCACTGTGAGGAGGCGAAGAGAAGTGATCCTTCTCTATCATGCACTCATCGCATCCTGACACAGCAAACAGTACTGGGCCTCCAGTACAGGAAAGGGCATCAACAAGGTGGAGAGAGTTCAGTTGAGATTCTCTATCCTTGGGCGTTTTCAGGATCAAACTGAACAAAGCCCTTAGTATCCTGGTCTTAATTCGATGTTGACCATATTTTGAGGAGGAAGCTGGACTGGAGATCTCACAAGGTCTCTTCCTGCCTGAGTGATTCACTGATAGCATTTCCAAAAGAAAGTATGTGGAAGAGATGGAAAGTCCCAGTGACCAAAAGAACACCAGATCTCAAGCTCCTTGTGTAAAGACCTCTAAAGCACCTGAAGGGGGATCAACATTCATAGGTGTAATAGTAAACAAAGAGGGCATTCCCTTCATTTAGATTGTGCCTGTGGGCCCTGTGTCCACAGACTGCCACCAGCCTCCCTGTCTGCTTTGTGTCTAAAACATAAATAAACCCAGCTTACCTACAGGAGAGACATCAGTGTTTATAGGCTTGGAAATGTTCTGGGAGCTTTTGGGGCTAAAACCATGACTCAAAACCTGTCAGCTACTTTGAAAGACACCCTACCTCTCAAATGCTTAACATATACTTACATGGCCCACTCCAGCTTCTCATTCTTGATGGAGTTATATAGTGTCTGAAACAAAAACATGGTGTCAGCTGTGTCTCTCATAGAAAGCATGTCTGGGTTGTGGAGATCATCTCCTCCACACCCTGTTTGTGTTCTTGGAGATACCTTCCTTGCTGGACTGTCCTGGAGAAGTATTCACCGGTGAGCAGCACAACTGCTGCCCTGCTAGACCCCTTTTTGTCTGTGTGCCATGCTAGGTACTGGGCTGCACACATCAGCAGCAGAGGGGTCTGACAGGAGCCCAGCTTAGAGGCTAGTACATGATATTTTGGACTAATTCTGGGTGCTGCATCCAATCCTGACCTACACAAGTATGGTAGAAGACTCCGGGGTATGAGCAGACACCTCCAATGTCTTAGTCAGGGGAAAGGGACGGAGAAAAGTATCAGTGCCACATGGTCATATTTGAGGGGGGGTACCTTGTTCTGTGCATGGTCTGGTGCGTCACAGAGCTACCATAGGGAACAGGGACCCTCGCATGTTCTAAGGGCAGATATGCCACAAATCTGGATAAAAGACCACCAGGGAAGAGATGTCTGATGGCTCACTGCTTGGCAAAGCTATCCATGTGGGTTACATTCTTTTAATGAAACTACTGTGCACTGGAAAACGCTGATTCAAGGGCTCAGTGTCCCAGCGTCCCAGCAGGACTTAGGTGGCACTACAGTACCAATGACAGCATCCCACTGTCTGTTTGTATCACGTTACCTTCAGCAAATCCTTTGCAAAGTCTTTCCCATCATTCAGCCCATCCAGGTTTGTTATGAACTGTTGACACGACATCTTCTTGCCAATATTCTGTAAGGCAAAGAAGCAGCTCATCAAACTTCTGCAGAGGTGTGACTTTAACCAGAGTGTCTGTTAAAGAGCAGTTATGTATGTAGCAGTCATGTTTGGGTTTGCCTCAGAAGCTCAATGCTGGAAGGTCTACTACTCTGATTTTGGGCTGCTAGTGACAGCACCAGACATTTCAAATGACCTCTTTTTTAATGGGGAAGATGAAAAAGATGAAAATAACCTCTCCAGCTCTTGCTCCAAACTTTCTAAGTGATTTCACCTTGGCCTCTAGGTTACTCCTGACACAGTCTGTGTCCCAAAACTCAAACCAAACACTCAGACTGCCTTGAAACTGCAACGCCTGATGGGTGTCCAAGCCTGCCACACGAGGAATTGCATGAGCCTGCAGTGTGAGCATCGGAAGACAGCCACCATTGGGCAATGACTTGTCCTTCATAGAAACTACTCCTAGTCATCACAAAAAGATGATCCAGCTACTGGTACTGTGTGAATTTGAGTGCTGTGGCATGTGAGGGCAATACACGTACACTGGAAACTCACAACCTGGAACCCACCCATCAGTAACTAATGCCATGACTATTTGGTGCTAATGCTGCCAGGTCATCTGGCACCCCTGCTATCAGTCTCATATGTCTTCCCAAACCCCTGAGCATAGCCAGGGGAGTCACTCTGTCAGCCTGCAAGGGCCAAGGGCTGGAGACAGCCTTTTTCCAAGCCTCCTCCTGAACTCATACCTCTCCAAAGGACTTTAGCAGAGGTGTGGAGGAGTCAGTGGGAATTGTAGGGGTGTCTGATACCACAAAGAAAAGATAGGTGTATCCTTGTCATATTTCAGTCTTCAGGCCCTGAGGTCCCCAAGGATAGACCCTGTGGTGACACCACATAGAGCGGACATTGGAGTTAGTGAGGAGAGAGCACGAGCTGCCATCAGCAGTCCTAAGAGGATCCTGACACTGAGTGGGCTTTGCACCCAGGTACTGACAGGATGCCCATCCAGGAGGACCTGGGGGGATGGCCAAGAACAACAGAGCCAGGAATCTGCTCAGGGATTCAGTGAGGAAGAAGGACCTCACTGAGTCACTGGAAGGGGATGAAGCTGCAGCAGATCCTTTAGGACATGCCAAGATGGGTCCTCTGTGCAAGAAAATAACCTCTCGAAAGAGACTGACACCAGAAGCCCCTGCCCACAGACATGCACAACAGCTCACCTGGAGGCTTCTCCCCAAGAGAAAGCATCAGCAAAGAGTGAGGCCTTGGGATTAGCCCACAGTATGTGTGCCCCCCCTTCCCCAAACAATCTGTGTGTGCAGACACACTCTGGCTACACAGGGAGCCTGCGCTGCATCTGAGCACCTCTGTCTCATAATTATGCCTCCTGTCAGTGCCATCTCCAGATGAGCTGGCACCCTTGAGAGAGAAGGGAAAAGAGGAATAATGCACTGCTACAAACCTGCAGTGCCTGGGGACACGGTGCAGCAGAAATCAAGACTCAGATGTCTCTGTTTTCTCACAGGGGAGCCCCATGGCTGATACCCATAACTGCACCCCATAGCTAGAGACTACTGCTAGCTCAGAGAGCTGCAGGGAAACCTGCAGACATGCTGTGTTTTCAGCAGAAGGAAGATAGATTTGTGTACGTGATGGCCAGTAGGTAACAGAAAGAAAGCCAGTAGCACAATGCACATGGAGGAAGGAAGGAGAGTGGGAAAGCAGGTACAAAATGCAGTAATGAGCATCCATGAGGGCAGGAGTTTGGAGGTCAAGTAGGTACATTGCCTGGGAACTTGAGGCACCACATTACTTTGCACAGAGAGAACATGACTACTTCTGCTAGGAGGCAGGAGAGCAGGGTGCACAGCACAGGTCCTTCTGCCTGCAGAGATCCTTCTGCAGTGAGCCAGCAACAAATGCAGAGGCCAACACATTTTAATAATGAGTGGATACAGGGAGATAGAGTGGCACAAGTTAACCAGCCTTGAGGCCCTTTCTTGTGTTTCTCACACATTGCATCCAGGGTATATATTAATCCTAAGGGACGGCTTCTTTTTTATCCTGTGATCTGCCTCCTTCTCTTGCCCAAGATCTCTGAGCTCAGAGACAGCAGCCACACCGTGAAGAAGTGGCTAATTGGTGAGCAATTGAGAAGGACGAAAACACACCCTTTGTCTGAAAACCAGAAGAGGTGATGAGAAAGCTCCAGCAAGGATGCTAATACTGTGAATCAGCTTGTTGGACAAGGTTGTCAAACACTGCAGAGTCAGGGGCAGGATTCAGGCTGGCTGTCAGTAGGATTGATAACAGGATGCTGGGGTGGCTCAGATGAAGTGCAACTTCAAGTCAACAACATCTTAATACTTCAGCTTTCTGCTCTGAGAAACAGGCTGCAGCCTGCCACGCAAATGCAAAGCCCTGCAAATGCCTCCAAATCAACACCAGCTGGATAGAGAAAACAAAGAACCACTCCAGGACACACTGCAGCTTCACTTGACCAACACTTGCAGTGAAATAGTCCTGTGATCATGAGTGACTCAGGAACCAGGCACTGCCTAAGCTTTCGCTCAGTATTTAGCAAGTACAGGGAAACCCAGGAACAACTCTGGAAAGGGGCATTCTGAGAGTGGAGGAGGGTGCCTTGTTAGACCGTTGGTCATCTTGCTGATTCAGCAACATCATCACGTGTAAACATAACCTTCAGGGGAATGGATCTGCGCACCTCAAAGCTTGGTTCTCTGTCCCCTGCTAAACTGGGACCTCTGGGTAGGGAGATGCACCTTCATTTATGGCCAGCCACACAGATAAAGATACTTTGGTTATTTTCTGGTGCATCAGTCACTTACCAGCAATAGAAAAAGCCGGTGAGGCTGCTTCACAGCCACACAGAGCTGCTATTCCTGGTATATCCCCCCTGGCAGAAAAGAACTTCATCCCACCTTGCTCCAGGCCATACAGCAAAGCATGAGAAATCACTATCAGACAATCAGCTGGCACCATGGTGTGCTTGGATGGAAAGCAAGTGAGTGAGCAGTGGATTAAATAGATGAGAAGGAATGGATAGTTAGATAAATGGGTAGGCAGAGTACGGGAATGGATGGACAGAGTGAATGTACACAGAGAGTGTATGAGAATGGAGAGATGCAGAGATAAGGTGTATGACAGCGGTTAGAGTGCATTAGAATAAATTAGGAAGGATGAGATTGATCTGATGGTGGATAAAGAGGGCTGATCCTGCCATCCTATTATTTCAACCCAGTGTAACTCCCCTGTTTACATTTCCAGGGTCCTTGCCTCCCCTGAGCCTCAGCAGCTGCACTGACTCACTCAAGGTGATTGTGGAGCATCTCCTGAAATGTGCAGGATGGCTCTGTCCACTTCCAGAAGACTCTGGGCAGTAGCCAAGTCCCAGCATTAGGAAGCTGGGCAGGTGAGTATGGAGCTGGGTGCTCAGTGGGAAAAGCAGGTACCATGTGAAAGCCCAAGGAGGAGCTCTCCTGGGGCCCAGAGCCTGTGAAGGGTGGCTATCTGTGGTGCTCTCCTCAGCATCCCCTCTGTGAGGTGTTGAACCACTTGAGCTTCTTGACTGGAGGCCCCAGGCATCCAACAGCTCAGCTGCAAAGTGCGCATCTCTGAGCTCCCCAGCATGAGCATCTTGCCCCTAGGACAAGAAACCTGCTTTTACCCAGGTTCTTCTGATCTCTCCCAAATACTAATCTTCAGGAGAAAATACCCTACAAGCACATTTATGCATCAGCATGAAGTGATAGCCATTGGTGTGATTGGACCAAGGGATCTGGTAGTAGATGTGATCTAGGCTGCAGGAAAGGAACTACCCAGCTGCAGGGAACAAGCCTGCAAACTCGGGGTACCAATGGCCCCTTGGCCAGGCAAAGCTGCTGTGGGCAGACTGCTGTTGCTCTGCAGAATATGCAAGCCATTGCTTGCATCTCAAGACTCTTCAGCTGTCCAAATGCTATTTACACAGCAGTGCTAACACCAAACCATATGTTTGGCTTAAGGACAATATGAGAGGGTTTGTAAGATTAATAGGAATGGACATGTAGAGTTAGGAGCTGTCAGGGTTCCCAGTTCAGGCTTTGTTTAGTGGCCATGAGAGCTGCTGGCCTGCTTTGGAACAAATGCTAAAGCTTGTCATATTACAAAGTGACTCCAGAAGCTGGGCTTTCTTGAAGTACCAAAACACAACCACAAGTGCTGGTGATGCCTTGGTGTTGATCTGTCGCAGTCCTTCCATGGCCAGCAGTTCTGAACAAGGAAGGATAACACTGACAGCTGAAAGGGAAACACCCCAAAGCTTTGTCTCCAAGGGGCAGAGATGGAGTAGAGGAGCACCTACTTTACCATAACATCTCCTGGAGCTCAAAGAGCACCAGCAGAGCAATGTAGAGCTGCAATAACATGGATTATACTACAAGGCTTGTAATGTTTGATGGTGATTGCCGGCTTTTAAACACCAACTCTGGGTGGTTCTATAAAAATGAAAATGTCATTTCAAGACAGTAAGTTTTCTGGACAGTTTGGAAACAGAGTTTGAGTCTACCTGCTGTAGAAAATCAACAGTACTAAGGTAATACTCCAGTGGGGCCAGTATCATGTTTTCAATATCATGTTTTAAAGCCAGTCTCACCACTTTTAAGAGTGGACTCAGTATATGTTGAATGCTGCTGGAATGGTGAACTAGCCCATTCTAAAGACACTGCTGTAGGAAACTGCCCCTTTACAGAAACAAATCAACCACCCTTTCCTAACCAAAGGAATTTCCCACTCCATGGCAATGCACACTAAAACAGAGACACACACACAATATCAAATTAGGAAATCAAATAAATAGTGATGTACAATATCACAACGGCATCTTTAACAAAAAGGGGTGAGAGACCAAGTGACACAACCCCAGGTACGCTGCAGTTTATGGAGGTTTCTTCACAGAAGTTCATGTGATGCGTATCAGCTGCTAATGGATTGCTAAGTAGTGAAGGACACTGCACAACCACTGAGGGATCCAGACAAACAAAAGTCTTTCTTTAACACAGAAAAAATAAGTCAAATGCCACTGCTTTAAAGCAAAACACTAGAATGACTGCACTTACCACCTGGTAAAGGGTTAAAGAGCAGAAAGAGAGGTTCCAGGAGCAGAAGGAAGAAAACAAAAAAGGAGGAGAAGGAGAAGAAGAAATTAATATTATACATGAGGAAAAATAAAGAGAAGGTTTTTCACAGAAACACTCAGGCATTTCTACACCTGCCCAAACGAAAGCTGCTTCTCCTTTGCCTAGATAGCATGAGATCATTTCTTCTCACCAGGGCTCTTAGCCAGCTTCTCAATGAAAAATAGAAACGGCGAGGTTTTAGAGGTTGAGGGTTGGGGTGGGTTTGGGGTTTTTGGTTTTTTGTTTTTTGTTTTGACTTTTCAATGATTTCTATCTTCCCAGAGACATATTTGGGATTTTTCAACTAAAAATCTAGACAAAATAAGATTATTTTGGAGTCAAGTTGCATACTTTGCCTTCTGCCGTAATGCTGCTTGCTGCAGGAAGTGCTTTGCTGAACATATTTTCTCAGCTCCAACCATTCCTGATGAAGGATGAATGCTTTGTGAGACCTTCCCAGGATCCAGCCCCACCGATATCCCACCACATACAGAGGCAGTTTGCCTAGACACATCACTGGCAGCCATGTGGGTGGGAATGGAGCCAATGGCCAGTGTACCACTGGTCACAGGGTGTCAGGTCCCCAAAGGATGAGATCACAGCAGCTGTAGCCAGCTTGGTGCAGGCCACAGTGCACATCTGGAAAAGACGCTCTTGCACAGACCAGTAATACTCTTCACTGACTGCTGCATCAAAGCCAGGCCACTGTTATGAAGGCTGTGTCTGTGCTGTAATGGTGGGGAGGGTCTCCCCAGCTGAACTGTCAGGATGGAACTGGTGGCCTTTGCATCATCACCATTATGGGCAAAGAGCACTCCTATAGTGTTCTTTTCTCACCCTCCACAGAAGGCTCCAGTCAAAGATGATTGTAAACCAGTTTACAAAAAAGGAGCTGGACTATGACCTATTGCTCCTTATTTGGCAAAATCAGGGCAAGCCCCTGCAGACGCACAACCAATTGTTACTAGCTGGAGGCAGAAGAGGACACTGATAGTACAGCCCGGAAACCATGGGCTTATGGGGCAGAAAGACCGTGTGTGGGTTTCACATGCACAAGGTGCAATAAAAAGACACGTGCACTCCACCCCATCCACTGCCATTCCTCCTCCAACTTCACGTAACTTCTGGGGAGTCTGTGGCTCCAGGTCAGAGCTCCCAGAGGGGCTATGAAAGAAGGTACTTCTCAGTGACCTGAGACTTGATGAGCCCCTCTTCCCTGGGAAGGAGCGCCCTGAGGCTCACAGTCTCCCTCCTGCAGTTAGCTTTCTGAATGTTCATTTCTCTTTTTCTGCTGTTCCCCATTATTATGATCAGTGTTATTATCATTGACATTATTTCTATTATCACTCTATTTCAGTTATTAAACTGCTCTTATCTCAACCTGAGGGGTTTACATTCTTCTAAGGGTAGACAGTGTCACAGTGCTGTCCCCTTTGCCCCAGCACATCTTTCCCCCGCAGTTTTCTTCCCACTCTGCTCTGTTATCAACACCCTGCTTGACCTTTTAGGAAAGAAACAACCTCTGCACCTGAAAGAGCCTCTAAAAGGTAGTGAGAGATCTTCTGACAGCCTCTGCTGTCCTTTGGGCAGTGAGCTCAGCTCATCCTGCCCTTTGTCCGGAGGCCTCTCTGATACGAAACTCTCCAGTGGCTGGCTGCTACGTCTTAAGGAAAACGAACAGTTGAGACTTACTTCATGTTTTGGGAAGAAAAGATCAAATCCAGACCTGTAAGAAGCCATTTTCTCCCTTGAAGTAGTTTCTGCGATAAGGGGAGGTGTCTGGTGTTTGAACTGCAAGAAACTGCAGCACAACTGGTGCTGCTGTTTGCGAGCCTCACAGGGACTGGTGGTGAAGAGCTCTCCCTAATTGCTCCTGGGACAGGGCTGATGCATGCAACAGGTCCTGGGAAGAAAGCTGCATTGCCTGTGCCTATATAAGATAGCTGATGGCAGCAGGAGATGTGCCTTTGGCTTAAATGTGGAGTGACTGCCCCCATGTCTGGATCTGGCATCCAGAACTCCCCATGTGGGGCTCATCAGAGTATTGACAATATCTCAGTTTGCACAGCCTGCATAAGGGGACACACCTCTATACCAGGAAGGAAAATGGAGAGGAGGAACCTTCAAGCACTACTTACATGGCCATGAAGATCTGTGTTTAGCAGCATCAGGGCACAGGTGAGCGTATGAATCCCATCTGAAACACACAACAGTCAGGTAACAAAGATTACCCCCCTTCCCATGCGATTTTGGTGTTTGCTGTCTTGACAGCCTACCCATTGCTAAACAAGGGTAACTGTTATATCTGGGGACCTAAAAGAACACCTGTCTCCTTCGACTGCGTAAGACAGTTGTCAGTGTGTGCCCACAGATGGACTGCTCCACTGAACCAAGCCAGACATGACATGACATGATGCTCCTGGCTTATTTCCCTTGTGCGTGCTGCTCTGTGAATTGCTGCCAAGGGTCAGACTGTGACTTCCCCTCCGGTCCAGGTGTGGAAGTAGCGCTGGTTGTTTCTTGTGGAGGCAGATGTGCAGCCACAGAGAGCCAGCTATGGCCTGTTCCTGTCCAGGTCAGCCACCAAGCTCTAAACACTGCCAGCTAAAGGCAATAAGGCACACAAGCCCAGGATGAAGATAGCTGAGCACATGAGCTTCTCTCTTTCTTGGAAGAACCATGGTCTGAGGAAGAGTTTCTGATGGGAACATCATGTATTTCTCTATGAGAGCTTATAGTCTTGAGGAGATGGTGTGATGGATGTTACCCTTCAAGAGAAACGCTTCCTCAGAAAGATATTCCTTCACTTTCACAAGGAGCAGCTTTAGGTTTAGGACAAAATGCCTTTCCAGTGCATATATTTTAGTCTCTATGTGAGGTTCTAGGCTGACATCTTACAGGTGGCTTTACTGTATCACTTTGGTCAGGCACACCATGTCCCACATGGCCCCAGGGTGGAGTTGGTGTCCCAAAACCAGCTATTCCTTCAGTCTTGCTTGGTTCAGTTTCATTCACTTTTTCTCTCTGCTCAGTGTCACAACACAACCACATAGTTCCTCCATGTCTGGGATTCACCAGTAAAGGAAAGCATTAATAATGTGCCCAAGACATCACTTCCTGGGAATGAAACCAGTCACCCCACTCAGCTTCTGCCACTTTTGTTTGCAGCATCCCAACATTCAAGGCTGAAGTGACCCTCAGTGCTGCAACAGCCACATCTCTATCAGTGGAACTGTTACTGAATAAGCATGTAGCAACATCCTGAAATATCTTGGAGGGCTGTAGAACCTTCTCAGCTGCCTGATAATCTCCAGACAGCACTGTCCTGACTCTTCCATGTCTCTATGCCAATAGACCATCACAGCCAGAGGTGATTTTTTAGAAATCTGGATAATACACAGTGGCTTAAACTTCTTGTTGCTAGAATACCCTTTGAAGTTCAGGCTGGAGGCAACAAGGAACTGCTTCCTGAAGGAAGAACCTGCAATAGCTTTGTCAGGTTACCATGCATCTAGTGCCTGCTTTTGCAGTATCTGGTTAATGACATGAAGCAAAGGCTAATGGTCATAACAGCAGCAGCAGTAATGTGTTTCAGATCCACTTTTCCTTATTCTTAGTAGTTTTGTGCTATTTGGAAGTGTAACATTTGAAAACAGACCCCACTAGCAGCAGTGACATCTCCACTGAGGGCCGTGCAATATGAACTGAGTTTAACTCAGTTCTGAACCATTGCCGTAGTGTGGCTCCAGCCCCGGCTCTGTAACTGTTGTTACCCACATGGCAAAGCTTGCATTTTGCTTGATCAGTCACTGAGCTCCAAATACCCTGAAGGGTCAAATCCTGATCTGGCTCCCTTGGTGGGGGAGGGCGGGGGGGGAAGTCTGTACAGCACCCAGTGTCCCTAGGCCGTACCAGTGCAAGGAGCATCAGCAGGGATGGATCAGCCTCACCTGACCAATGGGTGCTACTCAGGCCTGGCTGTGGATGCATGGTTTCACACTCAGGCTGTGACAAACATGCACTTTGAGTGCAATGGGCGCTAGAGTCAAGGAAAGAAAAGGGCTACCTTCGGATGTGCTCTCCTCTGGGTTGCACTGGCAGTACCGCCGGGAGAAATGGATGAGCACGCGCTCCCGCTCCTGTGTCTCTCCCATCAGTGGGAATGCTTTCAAGAATGTCCTGCAGAGAGAACGGGATACTTAAAAACGTGATGGATCAATCTGCTGGGCAGCATCCATGCTAAGGCAGGAGATGGAAAGGGGGGTCAGAGCAGCTAGGAAGGCTTTTGTACTCTCCCCAGCCTGTGCACCCCTGGACCCTTGCAGGTACAATACAAAGGGTTTCTATGGAGCCAGCTCTGGGCTGTGTAGGGAAACATGCTGCCAGCTGAGATCTGACCCACCTCTGGCTTGATGGCACCAGGATGGATTGTCCGTCCCCAGGCAAGAAGTTGCTCCCACTTGCTCTGATTTTGTACGGGATGGGATTCCTGGGAAAGCTGCTCTCCACCATGGGGAAGCAGGCTGTGGGCCCTCCTGTCGAAGCCCACTTTTGGTGGCAGTACCTTGTGCCAAATGTGACACCAAAGCAAAGATTAAATGACAACCTGGAGCTCCCCCAGTCCCTGCTCCTATCACACGGACGGCCTCCATGGCATCAGGAAGCCTGGAGGAGAAACCCACCACGCTGCTCTGTCCACCCCAGCGCCAGAGTCCAGCTCACCTGAGTGCTTTGTCAAGGGTCAGGCCAGTGAAGTCAAAGAAGCTGAGATACTCCTCTGCTACCAACTTGCTAAACTCGTTACTGTAATTAAAGAGGGAGCAGTCAGCCCTTTCATCAGGGAAGAAGACACTGTTTACAAGAGGAACAGCAAACTGCTGCCACCAGCCAGCCCAGCTCCCAGTGAGACACTGCAGATGTGATCCCAGACCCAGGGAAACTTTCTCCTAGCTTGAAATGCTGCTGGAGACCTCCAAAAGGCCCTGACATGCCCCCAGCCTAGCACTGCAGCTGCTAGCTTGAGACAGTTCCCAGGGAGAGATGCCTGTACCCACTGCACCCCTCTGCCGTGCTGCTGGCCAGGCAGAGCCTCCTCCCAAACCGGACAGGAGAAGGAGGACATAAGGATGTGCTGTGCTAAGCAGGCACCTTCTCTCCTAACTAGTCCTGTCCCACTGCTGGACGTGTCCCCTCCTCCTACCGCAGTACTCATGCTTGCACCCCACATCAGCCCCTATCTCACCCTCTCAACCCAGCACACCACTCGCATGTCAGATGGATGCTGCTGGGAACGGAGGAGGAGAGCTCAGCTGGGATCCTGACCCTTCTTATCCCTGAATGCTTCTCCAGAAACCATTCCCCTGCCATGTTTTTGGGGGATGCGTGGGGACGCGTTGGCTTTAAAGCCAACTCAGGTAGTGGAAGTGCAAGAATAATCAATGAATTCTGGCAGGAAATGGAAGATTATCTCACTATTCTCAGGCTTTGCCATATACAATTTCTTTTCCTTCTCCCCACAAAATGAAAAACATATTGCTAAGCATATTGTGTATGATATAATTATATGACAGTAAGCTGTGACGTCAAATTTGAAAGGAGAAGGTTAGACCTGAGGCAGCAGCAATCAGCAATGCACCTGCTACAAGAACCACAGCAAAAGAGAACAGGGATGCTGCCAGTGATGCAAAGAACCTCTAAAAGATCATTCATGGACTCCTTTTTCCCAGGACTAAGCTGGGAGTCACAGGTGATCCTTGGTACCAAAAGCTTGGGTATTTGCTGAGGGACGCTTGTGTTCTGCTGATGTGGACAGGACTGAGGCATTTCAAAGACATAAAAACCACCCCAGCAACACAGATTATATCTGATTCAGGAGAAGGATGATGCAGATTGGTGTCTTCACACCCACTGGCATCCTAAAATAAACTGTTACTGCTACACTCGTTGCTGTTACTCTGTCTTTTAGAAATCTCTGTAACTCTTCCACTTGCCCAGGCAAATCTACCAGGTTGGACCCCAGTGGGCTCTCCATCAAACCCTTCAGGCCATCTATAGACTGGCTCAGATGGTGTTGGGGTATAGACATGAAAAACCTAGTGACTGGCAGGGAGCCCAGTGCAATCCAGGTCTGGATCCCAAACCCTTCAGCCTAGGGATTGCTTTAGGGGCAATCTTTCTGGGCCCTTTCCCAAGGCAGGAAGCTCTTGGTTCTGGTGGACAGCAGCTTGTGGCATTTGATGCCCAATACACACAGGCAACTTGTAGGATTCAGATTGCCAGGGCATTGTGCTTGGACCAGTTTCAACTGGAAGGATCTCCAACAGCCCCACTTCCATCCAACAAGCCCTTGTAACAATGGCTGCAAGTCCCTTCCTACTCTGTTCCATCCTCCCAGCACGACCAATGCGCCACCACATCCCCACTTACTTCTTCCCAAGCTGGCGTGCCACATCGCAGCGCTTGAACCCTTCAAGGTTGTAAAGGCGCTTGGCCAGCCTCTTGGCAGCCTCGCTATCTGCCCTGCAGCCGTTGGCCAAGGTGTCTGTGCTGCCCTGGTCAAGCTGCTCCGTGCTGCCCAGGTCAGAGTCGGAGTCTGACAGTGCATCTTTCAAGCTGGCGTCGCTACACAGAAACAAGAAACAATTCAAGGAGCAGCAAAGTGACTTGAGGAAACCCACCGAAAAGAGCACATTTTGAGTTCTTCTCGTCCTAACCAAAAAATAAGGAAGACCAAGAATACATCTGTGAATCTGGCATTGGACAAACCCTTTCATTGCAGGTCGAAGGAAACAGTACAATTTAATTTCAAATTTGTAGAAAAGAATTGAAGGGAAGGTGACTTCTCCCTGAGAAATAAGGATGTAACCATTCAGAACAAGCAGCCCCAATGCTTTTTTTAAGCTTCCTCTCTCTCCACTGGTATGGAAAGGGATACCAAGCTCTTTCAGACCTCTGGGCTTTCAGGGAGCCTTAGAGATAGGTTATATGCTTTCCAGTTCAGATTATTTGCTGAGGATGAGAAACTGTCCTTGTACAAATCATGCCACAGGTCTGGGACTGGCACCAGAGCTGCTGTCAGTGGTGGATTGCTCCTCTTCAAGTTTCTTGTTGGTGGTGTGGCCAGATGTTCCCACAGACAAAATGCTGAGCAGCCCCACTGGCATCATGTAGATGGGGATGTATACACTTATTTTCTTGCCCAAGGCCAGTTCTGGCACCTATTCACATGTTTTTGGGCGGTGTGACTCACTGAAGGCTGATAAGCTAGCTGGACATCCAGCTCCTGTTCTCTGCCTACTCATCACCAGCCTTCCTCATGCAAAGAAGTGCCCTGCAGATAAGCTGCTGCCTCCCAGTGATGAATGTTTGGGTCTGAGCTGGTCCAGAGGATGAAGTCTCTGCTGATAGCACTGCCTGCAGAAGAACCTTTGGGAAGGCACTCAGTCCTATCTGAACCTCGAAGTGTCCCTGCCCATTAGTGCACATTTGCGAGTGTGCCTGACTGCCTCCAACATGCCAAGGGCTTTTACAGATGTCAGGTAGACCAGGCAGTGGTGTACCCAGAGGAGTCCCAGCTTTGCCTGCTGCAAGAACAGACAGGATTTGTGAGCAGTCAGATGAATGGCGGCGAGTTCCAGAGCAAGCATCAACACCAAGTGCAGAGCCTTGGCTTTTCCTGGGCTTGCAGGGCTCCTGCAGGACCCTGCAGCTCACTGCAGTTTGGGGTCCTGGGTTTGAGAACAGTGAGGACTCAATATCACAGGTCTGCTGGTGACTGCCTGGCCTAATGCCATTAAGACCTTGGTCCCCAGCTGCAGTCCTAACTTACAGGTAGGAAAGGTTTTCCCATTGGCATTTGGCCTCTCTGCCATGACAGCACATGAAAGGAAACAAGGGGGAAAAAGGCAGCTCCATCTCTATCATGTCCTCTGCATCTTGCTCCTAGGCTGAGACCCCATAAGACAAAGAAGCCTTGCCCAAAGAATTCCAGCTTGTCTTACCTGATGGAGTTAATGATCTTGGTGGCATCTTCCTCTGACCCTTCCACGTGGAACCCGTTTGGGATACTCTTCAAGGACAACCGGCTTAGCACATTCTCTGACCTGCTGCTGGTGATTGAGTGCCTGAGAGGGCTCCCAAAATCCCCCTCCACTGGCTTCGCTGCTGCCTGCTCTTGCTTATCAGCAGCCGTGTGGTGAAGAGCTTCTCTCTGCTGGGCTACCAGTTTCTGCTCCAGGAGCTCTGGGCTGTCCTTGACTCTTTGCTGGATCAATGGGGTGAGTGGGGCCTCAAAACTGACACAGCTGTCTGTCTCATCTGTGAGAGAGAGGACATCCAAAGAGTCCAAGCTGCTGTAGTATGTACCCTTCATAAGGTCAGACTCAACGATCTTCTCAAAGGTTGAGCTGAACCCATCCCTGATGTCTTTGAATTGAAAATGTTCCTTGTCATCCTCACTGCAGCTCAGCTTGGCATCTCCAGAAGCAAACCTGGACCAAAAGGGGAAAAGTAGAAAATACTGTCAAAGCAATTGCTTGCGTTGTTCCACTTCAAAAGCATGAAGACCCTTAAGATCAAGGCCATTTCATCCAACTTCAAATGTGGGCAGCAAATGTCCTTGATCCCTTTTATAGCAGAGAAAAAGCAGAAGCTTTTAGGGAGCAATTCATATGCTGTAACTTAAGCTTTTTTTCTTGGATAAGGCACTCTAGAAGTGCAAGGCACCCTACAAATACTTTTCTCTCCACTAAGAGAGATGTAAAAGGTGATGAACACACACCCAGGCAAGGGAGGCTCCACAGCTAGCCTGTGGGATTCAGGCACAGCATTACAGCTATGAACCTACAAGTAGGCTGGGAGTATGCAAGAGGCTAGGAGGGGACACAGCTGGTACAGCTGACCCGAACTGACCAAAGACATATTTCATGCCATATAATGTCATCCTCAGAAAAAAGAGGGAAAAAATGGAGGGGGTGGTGGGTGGTCTTTCAAAGGAGCCATTGCTCAGAGGCTGGCTGGGCATTGGTCTGCTGGTGGGACATGTTGAGTGCTTGCTTTTGCATCACTTTTGCCCACCTTTCACTTATTAAACTGCTTTTATCTCAACCCACAAGTCTGCTCACTTTCCTCTTCTGATCCTCTCCCCAGCCAGCAATGAGGAGTGATGAGCAAGTGGCTGGATAGGTGCTTAGTCGCTGGTTGGAGTCAACACATTGCACCTCCTCAGTGGTTGTCTCAGTTTGGAAACCCTGTGTCAGCACCATGGCTGTGCCCAGTGTCCCTGCTCATGATCATGGTCTCACCTTGCAGCAGAACGTGCTGCCCTGATGAATTCTGGGGGTGGATAAGGGATGAGCAGGTTTCCTGTGCCAGTGAACAAGATGCTGAACCTGTGCATGCCCAAACCAGCTCCAGTAATGCTTCTCCTTGCACGCCATTTTCAAACCTCGCTCTACACCCACAATGGTAAAAACTTACATGAATCTGTAGACTCACATAATTCCTTGATTCCAGGAGCTCAGGGCTTAAGAAAACAGTCACCCACTTCATCAGATCTGGCCATGCAGCAAATCAGACATAAGCAGAAATGAGACAGCAGCTCCAGCCCAAAGAGCCCTCATCCTCAGGACTGCTTGTCTTCACAAATCCATCCATCCCTGCAGGCTGAACTGCAGTTCCTGGCCATGATGGTGTGTACAGAAAAGATTGGCTTTCACAAAGCAGGTGGGACTTTACAAGTTTCATCCCCTTGTGACAGGAAGGACTTTGCAGCCTCCATTACACCCAGCAGTGGGAATTATAGACCTGCCTTGGCAGCTTATCACAGTGCCAAACTTCTTGCAATAGCCTCCATCTCCAGTGAACTTTCACCTCCCCTCCCCTACAGAGGGTCTACATCCTCCCCACTCCAAGGGAAAAACCCCTTTTTAGTGTCCCCAGGTCCTCCAAGACAGCCATCACACTACCATTAACTGTCCATATCACAGCACTTGTACTCTGCAGACCTTTCATTATCTCTTGGACCCACATTCATACAGCAGGCAAAAATGTGGGAAAGGCTGCACAGGGCAGACTGCAGAGACCAGGGCAGGAGCCATGGCCCTGAATGGGTCAGTGAGCACCAATAAGTCAGGCACATCACATCTCTCCTTGTGTGGTTCCAGAGAAGACACAGAGACTTTCTAGAGCTTTCACCAGTTCAGAAGTACCGTCTGCATCTAATCCAAGCAAAGCCAGGCTAAGGTGGAAGACACTGAAAGACCTCGCTTGTGTGAATGAACCTGACATAGCCTCCCCACAGAGAAGTGTGCCTACTTATTACACAGCAGGGAAGGCAATTGCTTTCCTTAAATAAGGAGCCATATATTTATTTGCATTGTAATCACAACCTTTTGTTAGTGTATTGAAGTAACGCTGTATCTAATTGCCTGTGCTGCCTTTCCCAGTCAGCTCTGACGCGCTGTTTTATTGCTCATGGCAAGGCATGCAGAGCAATGCACTGCATTCCTATTGCAGCCCAACTGTACTGGGTTTTTATACACTGAGCTGTTTACATGTCGTTTCTCACTGTTTAATTAGTTGTAATAAAGTACAACCTATCTCACTGTGCTGGTGGAGTGGGGAGTCCTGTCAGAGCAGGACATGATGGAATCAGCCCTTTCCCAACCATGTGCTGCAGGCTTTCTGAAAAGCTTTTCTGAACTTGACTTACGTGATGCTATAGGACACCATGGGAGGAAACATGTGGGCAAAGGCAGCAGTCCCAAACCTGCAGGTACTAAATGCATCTGCAAACCAAAGATGGGGATCCCTCTATTAAAAAGTTTTACCTTTGTACTAGCTCATGGGGCTGAAAGCAGAGAATATCATTCCCTGGTGAAGCTCAGAGTCTGGCTGCAGAGCTGAGACCTCCCTGATCAACAAGGCCAGTGCTAGAGGCTTCTAGGAAGGTGCGAGACCTCTAGGCAGCAAAGCCACAATGATAGGAAAATAGGGTTTTAACAACTGATATATTGGCATGCTAATGCATGCCATAGGATAAACTAGAAAGGGGTAAAACGGATCCAGTTAATGCAAACTGCAGCACAAGCAGTTTAGCTTTAGCTGTGCTTTAGCTTTAGTACTAAACTGTATTTCCTTGACTCTTTTAGCAACCATTTCCTGCATAGCTGCACTAACCTACCTTCAGTGGGGCAATCATGGTTTCTTTCTCCAGCTCCGCCATGGAGTCAGTGACCCTGGATGACTTTTCTCCCCTTTAATCCTCAATTGGTTCAGTGGGAAAAGCAAGACTCAACCCAGCCTCTTCTTGTAGAGTACTTCAGGATTCAGGGAAAAAAATGCACCATAGGAGCACCAACATATGGGTGCTTGCAGCATCTCTCCTGTGCCAGGGTAGGTACAGAGATAGGGCCAAGAGAGTCACAGAAGCATCAACCTCAAGTGACTAAATCACAGACCCCTGGATGATTTCTGTTGGCAAAGGGATTCTATGGTAAGTTATTTCAGGTAACTGCTGTAAGGGCTGCAGCTGAATCTCCAACTTGCAAGTAGGACATCCCAAAGTGATCACAACCAGCACCCTCGAGACCCTTAAAGCTTCTCCTTCGCTTTAGTGACTCTGTGGGGAGACACTGGCTCTAACCCCAGCTTCTCTGCATTTCTAACAGGGAAAAGCAGTGCAAGAGGCCCAGAGAGAAAAAGAGTGAAAAGCCACATTCAGCCATGAGAGCAGCTGCAGCTTTTAAAGCTGATGAGTTACACATGGAGCAGAGTAACCCAAACCAGGGAGGCTTGAGAGCCAGCACACGTAAACCAGCCCCGAGCCAGCATTAGGATCGCTTCACACTCACCCGAGCTCCTCCTCCTGCTCATCAATGCTCAGAGCTCCCGAGGACCCCAGGATGCTGTGCCACCGCTCCTTGCTGAGGGTCTCACCAAGGTCCTCCTGCCTAGGGGAGCCCCTGTGCTCCGGACCTGCGCTGCTGGGGCTGCCCGTGCCGCCGTCCTGCTCCGCACCGTTCGCCAGGCTCTGCTCCCCATCAGGCTCTGGTGGTGGCTCATCCCCATTGCTGCAGGCTGGGGAACGCTGCTCGCAGCCATCTGCAGCCGGCCATGGGACGTGGCTGTTCTCACTCATATTCTACTCGTCCCAGCGCTTACGGGCTCCCTCCCCGCGCTCAGCTCAGGCTCGGCACCACCTACAGCAGAGAAGAAACACGTCATGAAAGGCACGGGCTTGCTGATCCCAGCTCAGAGGGGCAGCAGTTTGAAGCAGAGCACAGGAAAATGTCCCCCATGGCTTTTGACTCCTCAGAGCAAAAGCAAAAACCCCAAACTAGGGTTTGCCACTTTGGCAAAGACCGGTGCTCATTGCTCAGCACAGTGAGAGCCAGAGAGGAAAACCTGCCAGCATGGTCTTGAGCCATCAGGGGCCCAGGCACCCTCTCCTGCTGCTCCCACAACCCCCAGACAGTCCCAGCATCAAGCACAGGTGAACTGCACCACACAGAATGTTAACACCACAGCTATGGCAGGGCTGGGAACAGGAATGTGGCACCTCTGATTTTCCCATACTGGCCACCATGGTGCTATTCCCAACTATTCCCTGCCCACCAGAAATAGGAGAGATAGGGGAAGTAGGAGATAGGTGTGATTTCTTCTTTTTGAACACATCTAAGCAGCTGGGATGTGATTCAGCCTGTGTGATTCTCCCTGCTGACTCTGCATTTTGCAGAGCTTCTTGCCTGCCAGAGTAACGCTTCTCTTTTCCCAACACACAAGTACTGCTGAAAGGTGTCATGAGTTGCCAGCTAAGACTGGTGAAAGTATCTGTACTGAATATACCCCAGAATGCTCTCTAGAGGGCAAGGGAAAGATGTTTTGCAATGAATGAGACGTCCTTATTGGCAAACATGCCCATGGACACTAGGTTTGCAGGTACTACAAGCACTGCCCTTTGCCATGGGCTGTAGCCACACAGTGCCATGCAGGGGGGTTGGAACTAGATGACCTTTGAAGATCCCTTCCAACCCAAACTATTCTATGATTCTCCATTGCAACCCCTGCAGCTGCCACCAGAAATGATCGCTTGTAGGAGCAGGAGTTTCTGTATGGTGCTCAGGCTGACCATGATACCAGCTGATTTTGCAAACATTATCTGTCTCCACCTGCACAGGAAGCATGGCTAATCAACTACAGCAGGCAGATGGAACCCCTGTGTTCTCCCCCAGCTTCTGTTCCTAACTCGCATCTCAAGCGGATCATTTCGACTTCCAGCCTCAGCTTCCCTCTCTGTAAGCCAGGGATTATACATCACCTCTAAGAAGCCACAAGGGTGCTCAGATGCCTGCAATGGGTTCTGGGTGAACCAGCTTCCTCAGCTGCAGCTCCTGTTGGTGGTAAGATCACTAATTGCTGGGCCAGTGCAGGGCTCTTAGTTCCTGGCAACAAGAGGTGCTGGTTGACAGCTCCCTCCACTCTTACAACCCATCACCCTGGAGATGTCAGCAGCCTCCTCCCTGCTGATGATTCCTCTACACTTGGGCAAGGAGAGAGGTGGGATTCAATCCTAAATACCCCTCAACAGCCTCGGTACAGGCAGATCCACACAGGTAGGTGCTGAGTTCCTAACTAGCAGGATCCCAAGGGTAACCCAAATCCCTGGCTGACTTTGCTCCAGTCCCATAACCCAGGCACAACTGGACCCAGGATCTGGCCTGCCCTTCATGTCCTGCTCCCCACAGTTAGATACATGGTGAGCTGAGGAGTTCAGAGCCCCATACAGGGTGGGTTTGGGGAGAAGGGTAGCACATGCCACAGTCATGAGACGGAGCAGTTCCCTCCTTGAGGTGACACTGGCAGCTTTACCTTTTCTCCAGGTGCATCCGTGTACATCCCCTGCTGTCACAGCATCACTGCTCCTGTCACACAACTGGGAGCCTCCAGTTCCTGCAGGATCACTGCCTGTAAGAAGAGATCAGAAAGTAAGACTCAGGCCAGAGAAGAGAACCCCACTGACCAAATGCCACTGCTCCATAGCCTGTTCTTTGCAAAGCACTGCAAGTATTCTGCCCTCTGCACTCCCTGGCTTTCAGGAGCAACCAAATGCAGGAGCCATTCCTAGAAAGGACCTCTCTCTTCTTTCTTTATAAAGTCTCCCTGACCAATTAAAGCAGAGCGAATTAAAGCAGAGCAGAGAAACCTGTGCTTGCAGGTTGCAGGAAGAAACTTGATGAGTCCATAGAATATCTGATTTCACCCACCAGATCCATAGAGGGAGATACCAGTCTTACAGATGGATCCCCCCAACAGTTCTCTCTAGCCCCACCAACAAACCAAGAGCCAGGTTAGAGGCACAAATCTGACCTATCAACTTCACAGATGTAGTGACATTTCTCTTGCAGAGTATATTGTAACATGCAGACTGGCAGGGACAGTGATGCCATTCCCTGAGGTGACCCCAGGCTGGAGGAGCAGGTCTGGTCATCACTGATGGTGTGTAATCTATAGACAATTGCCAGAGCTAGCAGGCCAGGCTTGCTAGAGTTGATAGAGACAGACAGACAAGGGTACCATGGCCTATGAGCTGTTATGGGTCGAGGCTGGGTAGCTCAGGCCCTAAAAGTGACACCTGCTTTCCAGTGGCTGGAAAGAGCCCATGGAGGAGCTTGGCAGTAGATATCTGTGTCAAGTCCCAGTGGAGGGATCTGCTTTCACCCTCTGTTGGGCTTGTACTCATTACCTTCAGCCTCTCTCTCAGCCAGCCCACTTCTCCCTGACACAGGAAAAGCCAACTTAGACACCCTGGGACACCAGCACATTGGCCTTTTGTGGCCCAGAACCCCACCTACAGGACCTGTAGCTCCTCCAAAGGAGGTCAACCTGGGACATTCCTCAGGTTTCACACATGTGGGCCAGGTCTCCTCTACCTTGCTCTTTTGCCATCCCAAATGAAGATGAAAGATCTGCAAATCTCTGTCCCACCAAATCCAGGACAGAAAACCAGTTCCAGGCACTTGGTCTTCCCATGCACTGACAGCAGGGCTGAGCCAATGCAGCATCTTCAAGGAGCTCATCTGCCAAACCTCCAAGACTTTCTTGAGCATGACCACACTGACTTCTCTGGTAGTACTGAAAACCTAACATGGGACAGATTTTGTCTTTCCCATAGTGAAGGCATAATACAGACACACAACACAGAGCCAGTGCTCAAATCTTTGGAGGAACCTTCCCAGCAAAGCTTTGCAGGCCTTTTTCTTAACATGAGATGAATAATGCGGCTTTTTTGAGTCCAGTGTTTTAAAACCAGCCAAAGGGTTTGGGCTGAAATTCCCTACCTCCCCGCCATCCAGACACTGCTGAAGCTAAATTCCAGTCAAATAGCTAAAGCTTGGCACAGGAAAAGAGGAAGCTAAATGTGGTTAGGAGACAGGCCTGAGTAAGAAATGTTGGCAAACCTTAGGGAGTGCGATGGCCCATCCAGCTCTCCCAACTTTAACCAACTTAAATGATTACTATATAACAAAAATAACGTTGTGTTATTGCATATAAACTACTGCATTGTCCCTACTCTGCTTTACCCTCTGTGAAGTCCAGCTGGGGTGTTCATGGTCCAGAAGGTGGCCTGAGGAGTCAATAGTTAACCCTTAGGCATGCTTTGCCTTGGCCTGGCTTCCTGCTGGAGAAGAGACACCAGGAAAGCCCTGGGAGGATGCAAGCACAGACTGCTGCTGAGCCAAGAAGACCAACAGCTCCCACCTTCCAGCTGCTCTGATCAGAGCCTGAGCAGAGTCTCCTGACCCCTCTGAGATTTGTACATCTCTTGTTGGATCCACGTTCCATTGCACACACGAGGATGGAGGTTGTGATGTGCACCTGAATCCTGCAGGCAAACTGAGTGTCTATCGGCCCACGAACAGGTTGCTAGCTACTTGATTCCTGCTTGCAGTGACAGTCACTTGAAGCACACCCAGCTATGGGTGGTTGAGGCTTCCTGGAAGCTCCAGAGAAACTGGGAGGTTGGGGGTACATGGACAAAGGGAAGAGGACATAGGCTGTGATGGCACAAATTGGATTCAAAGGAAGACATCCAAGGATGGAACAGCTGGTTGCAACTGTCCACATCTGCCTCCAGCAAATATCTGGAAGGTTGTCAAGGCTGGACAGAGCCCAAAGGGGGATTTTCAGTGCCCTTCTGTTAGCTCTGAGTAAGCATGGAAGTGCAGCTCCAGCAGCCACAGCTTCTACCAGGCCATCAGGAGAGGACACACTGCAGCACTGAGGGTAGGGACAAGGGGGGAGCTGGGGTTCAGAGGTCTCTCTCTGGGGCTCCTTTGCATTGCCCCAGGGCGGTAGAGCCTGGCAGACAGGAGGCTGAGCTGGACTGCAGGCTGATATTCCCCATGGCCCTGCTGGTTTATTTTTGTTTCTTCCTTGCAAAATGCTCTCCAACTTCAGGGCTGGGGGCTGGTGTCTGGGCTCCTACCAAGGCATTTTCACACAGTCACAGAGTCTTGCCCTTTCTGCAGGCTCAGGCACCCTCTCAAGTCACTGCTGCTCCCCTAGGTCCTGTGGGCAGGGTGGGCATCCTTGCATGTCCACTGCTCCCAGCCTCCTGCAGATGTAACATGGGTTAGCATATCAAAAAGGGTCTGGCAAGAAAAAGGACAGACTTGGTACATGTCCTGGCCAGGACTGTTCATACTGATGGCTACTGTGGCCCTGTTGATTTGTAGACAGTTGTGAAGCTGCAGTTACATCAATTTGAGCCAGACCAGATCTGTAAGGCCTACATGAGCAGAAGAATATGGGTTCATGCCAGCAAGAAGCTATTGATCCTGTAAGGAAAAGACTAAGGGAAGCCATGGTATCCACAATGCAGTGTTAACCAAAGCCTTTCCATGTCCTCCTTAGTTCTGGGACTTGGTGCTTCCACTGCAAGTTGGGAGAGAGGCAGAAGGGACTGAGGATTCCGTTCCTTGTGGACCTCTGATGCTGCTGTTTCTTGAAGGCCAGATCCAAGAAAGCCAGCTGCTATTACCTTGATTTATCAGAATTCCAGCAACACCAGCCCACCGCTGCTATGTGCCCAGTGCCACATAATAGCAACACAGGACAGCCAACAACTCCTGCTCCAGCCCTGCTCTGCCCCTAGGGTTGTATTCTGCCCCTGGACCACGAGGAGGAGGGGCAGGGATGGTTAGAGGGGAAGAAGAGCCGAAATGCCCATCACTTACTTTGGGATGGTGGCTGCATTTGCAATGGGGACAGCAAAGCAGGGCTGGCATCCACTGCAGGAAAGCTCCAGTCCCAAAGAGGCTGGGCAAAGACGCAGGAAAGTTTGCCTTGATTGTGTGAGGGGTTGGAAACCACACAGCAGCTCTTTCAGGGCCTGGCTCTGGAAGAATCCCAGCTTTTGTTGAAGCTGAATGGCTGGTGGGGAATGATTTATTTTTAATTTTCTTCCCTGTGTTAGGAACTGGAAAGGCTCCCACTTCAGTTTTGTGTAACCACTTGGCTGCTGCAACACAGGAAAGCAAAGGATCCTGCTGCTTAGTCGAGCATGAGCTTTTCCTCAAGCTCATGCTGAGCTGGGCTGCTTCATGCTGCAGCCTTACTTTGACTTGCTGCTCCGCATCCTGTTTCCTCAGGCTTGAGATGGGGCAGCAGCTCCTTCATGAGGGCTCTGTCCTCACCCTGGCACTGCAAGGGTGTCCAGGGGTGAGCAGGAGGTACAGGGATGACACAGAAGAGAAAGGTGCATTGGGATGTGGATCCCATGGAGATGAAGAAGAAAGCAAGCGGATTCTGTGCTCATCCGACAGCCTCAGAGTCAAGTGGGGAGGTGGGGGGGTGCCTGCAAGGGGAAGGGGTGCAAGGCAGGCTGCCCTGCTCTGGGGCATGCTGGGTGCAGACCCCAGGGGAAGGAGGGTGCTGGGACCTTCCACCCCTTGTGTGCAGCTGGGCTGTGTCCCCCTCTGCCTTACAGCCAGCCTGCTCTGCCTGCCTTCTACTTTACTTTGGGCAGGAAGCACTAATGTGCCAAACCTGGTCTTCTGGGCATCTGGTTTGGGTTTTGTAACAGCTTAAAAATTCCCTTGGTCACTCCTGTTGGAGAGAGCCCTTGAACTCCTTGGGCTAAAACGCCTGCAGTAACATCCTCTGCTGTGATAAACCATGTGCTCTGAGCTCCCATCCCCTTGGAGCAGGAATGAAACATGCCGTATGGCTATTTGATCTCCATGCTGTTGATCCCACCCATGATGTGGCTGGTGAGCAGGAAGAGATGTGCTTTTATGACCCAACTCACCAATGAATTTACACAATACAGGTGCAGCACATCACCCTGGGCAGAAGCTGTGTGCATGAGCACAACGAGGCTTCTTTGAGGAGGCAAACCCATAGAGAGATGGAAAGATCATAGCCATGGTACTTCGTTTTGAAGCACATCTTCTTCTTATGTCTCTGCTTTGACCTCTGCCCTTTCAACACAGCTGAAACTAAAAAGCTTTTACCATTCTTATTGTGAAAATCCTCATTTATTTCTTCCATGAGCTGGAGGCCTGGTTTTATCTGACCTCAATCATATCACCTCTCACCTCTTCTCTCTACATTGAAGTCCCTACCTTCTTAGCCTGTTCTCATATGACAGCTGCTCCACCCCCTTGAGCATTTTGACTACCTTTCTTTGGATTTTCTCTAAGTTTATTACTCCTATTGCTCTATTACAGTCTTTAGATGGGGAAAGCATACTGCCCAGTGAACTCAAGATGTGGACACAGCAAAGATTTGTACAGCACCAGTTTTGGTTACTTGTGACTTGAAAAACCCATCCTATCCTTCAGTTCCCTGCTTTGCAACAGCCTTTCTGAGACAAGGCAAACCACTCAACCTCTTGCTCCCAGAAAGCTGTTAGAGGAGCACTGCTCTGTGCCCTGGAGGGCTCTAAGGAGCGAGAGATGCTC